AGTTCTCTTCGCGTGTCAGTTTTTATTCAAGACATCTTCATCACCCTTGTTAATCTCTCCCCGGTATTCTAATTTCTCGTCCATAATACCACATATCCGCCGATTCCACAAACATTTTTACTAATCTGCCAACTGTCCATGATTCACTTCCGTATATTAGGGTAAAATGTATATAGCTTTTCAGAATGATATTTCTCATCCACTGAAATGAAAGATTGTTTACAATTTACTTCATTTCGTGAAATGTTGCCTTTGCTTGATCTATTATACATTTAACGTAATAATATATTTTCTATCAGCTGTTATCAGGGTACCCAAATTCTTTAACATATCAACTTGCTTCAGGATTGTCTCATTTACTTTGGTGCTGCATTTCAAGGAGTCCATTTTCCTGTCATTGCCATTGCTTCTATTTTATTGCTTACCAGACAAGACCTTTCTTTTGACTCTGTTACAACTATGTCCATCGAACGAACAAACGAACGAACGAACGAACGAGCCAATTTTATCTTCAAAGGATTACAAATTAGGCGCTCAGGACTTTCTTACATTCGGCCCTTCCAAAATCCCATCTTTCACACATCAGTTGTATCTCATCAATAAAGCATGTTATGTTCAAGTAATAATTTGCATATTATGAATATCAAGTCAAAAAAAAGCATGGGTGGTAAAATATGTGCGCACGCTCGCGCGCGAACACACACACCCACATAGACACGCAAACCCATTCACTCACTTACACATACACACATATGACATATTTTTTTTTTACATCCATTCTTGTAGCTGTGTTTCATTTTCAGCGATCACAACTGTATCGGCAGCTATACACAAGGTCATAGAGAATGATTGCCCGAATTTTAAACTGCTACAATGAAGAAGTATTGAATTGATTTACATATGTGGCGTCGTATAATGTTCTGAAAAGTTTAAAGGTTCGTGTGATTTTATGTGACCCTGAGACTTAAAACGGCGTTGGGGAGATAAGGAGCATCCAACACATTTGGGAGAGGGTCGATGCAGCAATTGCAACTGTAACTCTGGACACGATTCAGAAGAAGTTGCAGTCGACTGATTTATCATAATCATCAATTTCCACATCTGCCGTTAAATGTTGTGGGGAGGAACAGTTTGCGATCCATTGCTTAAATGGCAGCAGTAGAAGCTCTTTAATGTCATCATCCCATCTTCCCCTAGGACGACTTCTTGCTTTCACTTCAGATCCTTTCATGTACAGCACCTGTGTTTGTAGTTTATTCAGGCTGCATTCTTACTAAATGACCAAACTATTTGATCCTCTGTTTTTCAATGAATTTGCTGCACGATGTTGTTCATACAGTCTGTCTGATAATATCAATTCTAACTTTATTTCGGATGGTTAAGTTGACGCCTTTTCTCAGGCATTTCATTTCGCAGGTGGTAATTATTCAAATGTAGCCTTGGAGTCTGACACTGGAACACAGTGTTAGTATGAATGTGCAGTTTATAATGTTTCCTAGCGCTCATTTTGTCTTTGGATGTCTTAATAATGGTGTCAGTTTGTATATAAGTGCACTGGCTCATTGGCATCTTGTTTCTATTTCCCGATCTATTCTACCGTCCTCCGAAAATATACTCCCTAGATATTTACATTCTTTAACTTGCTTCAGACAAGTACCATTCAACGCGATATGAAGCGGACTATGAATTCTGCTGACCTGCCTTACTTCAGTTTCAGTAGTATTTACTTTCATGTCATGACTGCTGCATGTTGATCATAGCCTTTTAAAATATTTTCAACTGTTGAATACCATGTAGGCAAACATATCATCAAAGCTAAAAATAGTTCCCCTATCCAAATTTACTAAGGTGTCTAAAACTTAAACTTTTTAAAATATTTAGACGCCATATGTACAAACCACTTGATGCTTTAGAAAAGAACCGTTTAAAATAGCAGCAATCATTGACGATGCCCTTGTGTTACAGAGTTAAGGCATATCAAAGACGGGACAAGACACTCCTACCGTAAAATGATGTCTATTATCCCGGCGCCGCTGTTATCTTTAATCAGCGATCAAATTCCAGTAAACAAGACAGGGCGAGGTTTCCAGACATGGCAAGGGAGTGGGTTTGTCTGGTCAGTTGATATGTTTCGAAAGGCGACCAAAGTCCGCGATTTATAATTGAATAATTGGTTTGGATTTGTGCCATGTATTTTAAGTTGTGATGGCGTTGTAACTAGCAGATTTGTCTTACAGTCTGAATTCCCTTCTTCTTCTTTCACTTCTTCTTCTGCTTCTTCTTCTTCTTCTTCTTCTTCTTCTTTTTTTCTTCTTCTTCTTCTTCTTCTTCTTCTTCTTCTGCTTCTTCTTTTTCTTTTTCTTCTTCTTCTTTCTCTAATTTCGCAGTTTTGACTTTTTAATTGATAGGTTAATTAACTGACAAATATGCATCGACTGTTTAACTGACTCTCTGCATATATTCTACGATCTTGTGGATTGATTGTGACATTAACAGTTTGTATTTTGATGGCCTTTGTAAAGGTCACACTAGAAAAGATGTGCTGGAGACAAATCAGATAGATAGCTACGATCACTTAGTGAATGATGAGAGATCAAGAGAATAAAAGGTACATGAGAAAAGGAAGGAGGGAGTGAGCCAGGAGAGTGGGGAGAGTTTATTCGAGGAAGGGGGGAAGTGGATAAGGAACAGAGAATGAATGAAAAGAAAGGGTGGGGGGAAGACTATAAATAAAGAGGAGAGAAAAGAAATACATAAAGTGAGAGATAGTGAAGGAGAGAGAGCATGACAGAGTGTGAAGATAAAAGGGAGAGAAAGCAAGAGAGTAATAAAACAATTGGGATGACTGCAGTCAAGCTAGTATCAAGAAATTATTCCACTGAAACCTAATTAGTTATCAGCGAACCTTCTTGGTGACCAGAAAGCTCCCCTCCTTGTTGTTGCTATTTTGTTTTTCTTTGATAATGACTGTTGCGGACACCTCCAATTGTTCCTGTGTTTTCCCCTCTTCTCACCTTTGTTAAGCCTCAGTGAAAAGAGTGGCAAAGTGGTCACGTTAAACAAAGTTGACAGAACGTAGACATAAGAGAGCGAGAAAGAGAGAGAATGGGGAAGGAGAGTGGACAGACGAAAATCATAAGAGAGAGTGTGTACGAATTGTGTATGGTCTGTTATTATAGGCATCCAGTTCATACAAACATCAGGGAGGTGACACCTTGCCCTGGTATTGTGTGTGCGCGCGTGCGTGTGTTTGTTTGTGTGTGTTTGAAAAAAAGGGATAAAGTTATGTTCGTGTGAGTGTGTGTGTGTGTATGTGCGCGCGCGTGTGTGTGTGTGTGCTCTGTATGTGTTTGTGTGTGTGTGAAAGAGGGCCAAAGTTGTGTGAGTGTGTTTGTGTAGGGTAAGGATGTCGCTAGCTTTATCTGTATCCCAGTTTAGTCTGGCTGCATTCTTACTAAATGGCAGAACCATTTCATTCTTTGCCTGACAATTTAAGTCTGGCACGGTCTTATACCAACTTTCTATCTAATGCTGGTATTCTTTTTTTTTTCTTCTTCTTCTTCTTCTTTTTCTTCTTCTTCTTCTTCTTCTTCGTCTTCTTCTTCTTCTTCTTCTTCTTCTTCTTCTTCTTCTTCTTTGTTTACTGGCTGTGAGCTCCGGCGGAAAGTCCTGGTTGTTTTGTCCATTTTGACTCTGGCTTTTATGCTAGGGCTCGAGTTTTACTGGTTTTTGTGTGTGTGTAGTTGGTTGTTTTATTGCCACTCGGGCAGATTCACTCCGACTTAAAAGGAAGTTCCCAATAAGTCGACTCTTTTTTCGGGGGTGGGGGGGGGGGGGGGGGTGTAGGAAAGGTTTAAAAAAGGGGGGGAGGCAGTGAATCTATTTTTCTCCCCCCCCCCCCCCCACAATAGGTATTTATAACCCTTTCCCTCTTTGTTTCGCCAGTGACCTTATGGAGATAGCGTATTTCGTAGGTAGTTATGTTCTGTTTTAATGACCTATTTATTGTCCATTTTTGGCACTGATAACATTAAGTAGGACTGAAGATGTTAGTAATCCCTTGCTGTTTTGCTGGAAGAAAGACATCTTGGTTTCTAAGCATCGATCTCCGAAAGAAAAATACGTGTGTGACAACATTTGACATATACATATTTATATTTATTCAAAACAATATTTAACCGTTGTGAACTTGAACAAAAAAGACACAAACAAAAGAATGCAGCGTTTGTCCTTGTGAGAATGAGTTTTTTTTTAATGTGTTCGATTGTTCTTCTCATGGGAAGAATTTATTTATTTGCATCGCTATAATCTTTTGGGAGCCTCTAGAAGCTCGCTGTGGATGCGAATGTCATGGGTTGAGATCCGGACGAAGCTATTTTTTTTTTTTTTCAAAAAATAATCTTGTCCCCCAAGTCGACCCAGCCAAACGTGGGTACCAGCTAAAGCACTAAAAAGTAAAGACGACGGCGCGATGTTGACCACATCACCCACCAAGAGCTGAGTGGTCCATAAAATATAGGTCTAGCCCTATATGCCCTAATATGTCTGAAAGCGTGGAAAAGGGTCATTTTAATTTAGTATAGTATGCGCCTGACGAGATACAGTGAAATATGTTAAACAATAAATTGCGCAATTTACTGTGTTTTCATTATCACGTTTTCATTGCACGTTTATATAAATACTATGATTTAAAAAAGTAATATTTTACGTACATAAAGGTAATATACGTAGTTAAAAGTAATATATAGTGCAAAATTAGTCGTACCGTCGATACGGAAGCCTCAGTAGTGTAGTTGCTAGACGTTAACTTGCCGACCCGAAAATTTTCAGTTAGAATCTGCATCGAGTCTGACTTTTTATTTTCTTTTTTATCTCGGACGCGTCTGAGGAAAAACCCAAGACAATCGGGGCATTAGGTAAGCGGCTTTTTATTCGCATACCCCTCCCCCCCCCCCTCCCTTTTCCCCCCTGTTCCTCAGTTTCCGAACTAACCACACAAATTAATCTTTTCTGAAACATCTAACGAAAAATTGCAAACACAGAGCTGTAACCAGAAATATTCTCATCAATGGAGCCATGCAGATAGAGACCACAGTGTCTTTGTTACAGCCAAACCTTGCCGTTTTGCCATGACACAGAAGAAGGTGGTCCTCAAACTGCATTTTGGCAAGATCGTCCTGGGGAAATGGATATTTGGCGCCAAGGCGATAGGCGGCTGTTAGTCCAGAAATGACAGCAACTTCGTGCGTTCCTATCAAAGTGTATGTCCCACAGTACCACGTATGCTTTGTCCCTTGAATATATCTCATAAACGGAACTGTAAACGCAAAATGCCGCCACGAATGAGAGAATTTTCTCCACCATTTTTCCAATCTAATTTTATTTGTGTTAATTTCATTGATCGTCCAAGCGCTTTTCGCGGCGTCGTTGAGAAAGATCGTCTGATAAATATTCCGCCCACATCCCTTCAACTGCGGCTGATAGTTTGACAGATTGAAAGACATCTCCAGTTTTGTCGGATCATCGGGGTCAGACCTGATGAAGTACTGATCAACATTTGTGTTTAGTTCGTAATGTTTTGCCATGTATTCTTCGTCTTCATGGGTTATCGTTACATCGTTATAGTATTCAATATTTCCGAGAACCTTTCGTTCCATAAACGTGGGGTTTCTCAAAACTGCCAAAACAGTTTCTGCTGTGCAAGAAAAAATTATCTCATCAAACTCTTCTTGACAACCTTTATCATCAGTAACAAAAACCTTTCCCTGTTCTCGATTCACAAACTCTACAGTCCTTTCACCGTGGAATGTGCAAGCAATTTTCTTTACAATTGTTTGGTACATTTCGCAAAGATTTGGAAAGATAAACATTTCAGGCATCTGACTTAGCAATCGCTCAGGATCGTAGTCGAACATCCGCAGCTTGTCATCCAGAAATACTCTAGCGATAACCGCAGATGAAACGTTGGGAGTTTGATTCCCCGTAGCAAAGAACAAAGCCACAAGAGGCAGAACCATCTGGTTACAGAATTCATCAGAATGTCCAAACCATTGCATCACTTTAGAGATAGGAACAAACACAAAAACGCATTCAAATTTATTAATTATGCGAAGTGTTCTGTCAAACTTCTTGATTTCATCTTTATGTGTGTCAGTGAGCTGAGTTTTCTTGTAATTGCTCCAGGCGGTGGGACCTTTCCCAAAGGAGATCTTCAAATAGACTGGAGATCCGACGAAGCCGAACTCTGTCATGAGGTTCAGGACGTTTCTGTACGAACGGGTACCCCCTTGGACTCCATCATTGATGAACAAGTTGCCAGGACCTGCGTGCAATGCATTCAGAAAAATTTATTAAAGGACACCTCTGTTTCAATGTGGTATCAATTATATAATGCTAGCCTCATGTTGTTTGTTTGTTTGTTTTAGTATCCAGAAGCCATGAGTTGTTAACCCTTAGGCTCGGTATTATGGATATCGCAACCTTTCGGCCTTGATTCCATTCTAAATACCGTAAATCTGGGAGAAAATGTGGCTTTCCTGCCTACCCCCGGGATTGAACCCGGACCACAAGGAGTTTGTCACCCGGTCTCCACGCAATCCGGTTTAGCCAACTACGCTAGGGAGCCGGGCTAGCCCCATGTATGTATAGACAAACTAAAACTGGGCGAATGTGTGGGCAACATCAAGCTGTCTGCATTTACTCCCCATGACATTCAATGATACTTATTTTAGACTGAGTCGACGTAGATAACAAGGTAAATTATGAAAAAGTCGCAATCGATGTGGATACGAACCCAAGATCTTCGGGTCGGCATCTGACCGTTTAGTGTACTTATTGAAATAGGAACAACATTATTCACAATCACAGAGCACTAAGTGATAATCTCATAGAACATGGCAGTTTGGTGGTCGCTTGTTAACATTTGTCCAAAATACAGTAAAACAAAAATTGATAAATGAAGATCTGACCCAGAAGAAAAGTCAAGAATAGTAATAACCGGCCCTAAAAAGAAGTGCTGAACAGTAATAACATGTCCTAAAAAGAAGTGCTGAACAGTAATAACATGTCCTAAAGAGAAGTACTGAACAGTAATCAATCAATCAATCAATCAATCAGGTGCCGTCTCCACAATGAAGGTTGGCTGCAATGGATCTCCAACAAGCCCTGTCTCTTGCCCTTGATTTACACTCACTCATACTGCTGTTCGTCCATCTCTTGATGTTATCCTCCCACTTGTAACGCTGTCTGCCAATAATAACATGTCCTAAAGAGAAGTGCTGAACACTAATAACATGTCATAAGGCGAAGTGCTGAGCAGTATTAACATGCCATAAAGAGAAGTTAGTAATAGTAATAACACACCCTAAAGAGAAGTGCTAAACAATAATAACATGTCCTAAAGAGAAGTGCTGAACAGTAATAACATGCCATAAAGAAAAGTAAAGAATAGCAATAACACGCCCTAAAGAAATGACCAGAATAGGCTAAAGGTGCTGCAGGCTAAGTCATACCTCAGAGTAGCTGCAGACAGGGAACATCCTCTGTATGAAGCTTTGACTGCAAGTAAGGGTCAGAGGCTGAAAAGCCCTGAAGAAAGGTCAAGAATAGTAATAACAAGCACTAAAGAGAAGTGCTTAACAGTAAAAATATGTCATAAAGACAAGTCAAGAATATAAATAACAAGCCCTAAAGAGAAGTCAAGAATAACAATAACAAGCGAAAGAGAGTTGCGTTGAGCTGAGTGGAGTCAGGAATTGACATCACAGCACTTAGGACATTCCCATGCATGCTCCGTCCTCATTTTCAGCAGCCAGCACAGAGTTCCAATACTGATGGTACCGGTCACAGTCTGGTTAAAAGTCCGTCTTGCCTTTCCTCTGAGTGTAGTCAGTCGGTCAGACCCACTGGTTACACCCAGGTGCCTTATGCTCTCCAGGCCATATTAATCTTCTTTCTATACCGATTCTGTTGCTTGTTCCCAAATGGCCTTGACCACGTCTGCCTTGTCATGTATCAATTTACCACCCAGTGGTGCAGATCCAGCCAATCTGTCTGCCTGTTCATTACCCACCACGCTGGCATAGCCTAGAGAAATGATCCAAAGTATGCTCACTACCCGTGACCTTTCCAGTGAAGCTTGCCACTCTGCTCGAAGCAACCTTGTCTTCACCTTTTTTCAGCATGCTTTCAGAGTCTGTTACAATTACGACACGTGTATGAATTTTGTTTTGTAGCCACCGGAGAGATGCAATTACTGCTTCCACATTCTAGATGTTGTGGTGTCATATGCTAGGCTGTCTTACACTAAAGATTTTCTATTGGCTTTCGCTTCGAACTTCCAGGCACTTCTCTTTCCTCTCAGCACCAAACTATCTGTATAGATAATCAGATCACCTGGGCGTGAATTTTCGTGCATCTACTGTTGGACTTCAACCTCCGTAGCACCCGCTGGCCACTCTCTACACACCCGGCCCAATGAGATCATAACCCTACACAGGTCAGACTTTTACTTTTACGCTGCTACTCTGACCCACTCCTCTCCTCGCCCAATGTTCTCCAGTATGCATACTTATCTTATTGTGTCTTCTGCCTGAGCCATCCACGATTTTCTCCTTCTTGCCTCTGACCCTTACCTACAGTCAAAGCTTCATGCAGAGGGTGTTTCCTGTCTGCAGCTGCTCTGAGTGAGGTATGACAGCCTGCAGCACCTTTAGACAGCCTGCAGCACCTTTAGCCTATCTGCAGTAGTCGGCAATGCAAGGATGTATCGCATGCACACAATCGGGGTGTCTCTTGTACAACCCAGGATCAATCGCATAGCTTCATACTGTATGCGCTCCAGTTTCTCTAACTGACTCTTCGAGACAGTGAGTAACCCCAATCCATAATCAATCACTGAGATTATTAAGTGCTTTTAAAGTGTGAACAGCATTCTCTGTTCCATGTCCATCGCTGCCATAATCTTTAGTGCATTTAGACCTTTTTGAGCCCTTGTCACAACTCCCTCTATTGGATCCCTGAAAGACAGACTTTTGTCAAAGGTGATTGCCAGGTACCGCACTCTGCTGTCTCTTTTGACGTCCATGCCATTTATTTTGAGTCTGGGAACATCAGCTCTAATAATCCTTTTGTCCAAAGAACACCACAGAACGGTTGCCTTTTCTGTGTTGATTACAGCACTTATCTCTGTACACAAGTCGATCACCTTATCTACTGTTGCCTGTATAGAGTCAGGTGACTCTGCGTTCTTCTCTCACCATTTCCTCGTTTTCTTCTCTTCACTATCTTTTCGCTGTTTGCCGAAGATGACGTCAAGCGCATAGCACGTGCCCCATAGCTCCGGCGACAATTCTTACCTAGGAGTGTAGTGAGCTGGCCAGACCCTCTGGTTACATCAAGGTGCCTCATTCTCTCCAGGCCATAATAATCTTGTTTCTCTACTAATTCAGTTGCTTGTTCCCCAAGGGCCGTGACCACATCTGCCTTGTCGTGTAACAATGTGGTGCAAAAACGGCCTATCTGTCTGCCCGTTCATTATCCATTATGCCGTCATAGCCTGAAGAAAAGATCCTTGAATTGGTTTGAGTCCACTTGTGAAAAATACCTGGCCACTGCGTATAAAAAGGCCAGCTCACTCAAAATTTGCCTCATGTTGGCTTCCAGACCAAACCTGCAGGAGACCAACACAGCTGTTGTGGCTCTGCACATTGGACTAGACAGCATGAGTACGGGCGACCGCTGAGGAAGGCCAGTTGCCTAGCTGATTTCATGATGGTGGTACGTTTTCTATAGTTAGCCCTGAATTTGTCTCTAGCAGTTAGACTGTGTAGAGATATGTCAGTGCGTATCCTCGCTAAAAGATAGTTTGATTGCAGGTCACTATAAACGATTTGCCGGTCTGGTGTGGCACATTCAAGCTCAACGTGCATGTTAAATATGTTTCGGTTTTTGCCATTGTTTAGTTAATTTCTCTGAGCTTATGCGTCACATTTCATTGTTCGCTGGACATGATTAGCACTTTAGATTCTGGTCGAGCACGTTGGTTGTTGTTAAGGTATTCTTTGTGGAGTATATGTTAATTTTATGTTCAGTAATTTTATGTTCAGTTCAGTAAAAAAAAAAAACAGTTGTTTAATGAGATGATTATAGTTCATTTGCTTGATTTAACTTAGTATCTGTAGTCCGAGCACGTATTTCGTCTATGTGTGTGTGGCCATCTTGTTTGTTAGTGTGTGTAACATAGAGTTGTTCATATATCCCTTACCTGGGTTCGGGTGGAATATTCCAGGATCCCTGCGCAGAAGAACCCTTGTCTATTTTTTTTTTTTTTTTTTTACTTTCCTGTTTTTGCTGTTAAGCGGGGAACTATTACTCTTTGTCATAATCACAATTGTCCCTTATCTCCCATGTGTGTGTTTTTTTTTTTTTTTTCGCTAGCATATAAAAAAAAATTACCTTAGCTCCCAGGTCGACCAAGACTTAAATTGGTACTAGGCGAAAGTCATGGGAAGTAAAGGCGGCTAGCGTTATATTTACCACATCACCCACTAAGTGCAGTTTGGTCCATAAAATTTAGATCCAGCCCTCTAGGCTCAAATCCAGCCCTCTAGGCTCAATATATCTGAACACGTGGAAAAGAAGATGAAAGAGGAGGATGAGAATGAGGAAGAAGAGAGGTAGCATCCAAAGGAGGAGGAGAGAAGACGAAGGAGAGGAAGAGAAAGAGGAAAACGAGAAACAAATATGTAAAGGGAGACATTTAGAAAGACAACCCAGCATGCAGTCACATTGCGATACAACAGACCGATACCTTCAATCCGAACGGAGGATGCTACCCCTCCAGGTAGCGCTGACTTTTCCCAAACATGAACATCAAATCTGTCGGGACATTTCCCCAGAGCGTATGCAGCTGCAATGCCAGAGGCTCCCGACCCCACAATAAGAACTCGCGCTGGCCTCTTCGTGAAGATTGACATGCTCTTGGTAAATCTGAGGTTTCATAAAAATACTTGGTAAGGAGGTTGCTGTTTGTACTCACATATACATACCGTGAATGTATATAGATGCATGCACACACACACACACACACACACACACACACACACACATGCATATGCATACACATGCATGTTCTATCGGACTAGTTCACCCCCCAGATGACGTCACAGGACAGCCTAATATCTTCTAGAGTGGTAAGAACGGGTTTCCTCCCTTATTATGCGTCTTCCAAAGCGTTGCCAAGGTTTTGGCGCGTTTCTTCTGTTGGCGTACTTCTTCTTCCGGCGGCGCGACTGCCTTACAGGTAAATCATTCTTTCTGTGCCACTGGTCTCACGAGTTGACAAGCATTTAATTTTGCCAAGAAGAGCTGGGCATGTCGAAGAATACAACTGTGGAGTGGAGCAACTAGGTACGGGAGGTTTGTGCCAAAACTTGATTATTGAATCTTGCTGTCATCGGCAGAGAACACATCTGATGAAACTGATGAAAGTATCCCTTTTTAGGGCCACCCCCATAGTGCCCCAATTGGTAATTTATCCTCGTTTGCACAAAGAAAAAGAACAGCATCCTCCCGATTGCACCAACTCACAGAAAAATACACACCAAATACCAGCACAAGAAGAACGCAAAACTGATAACTACACAGCAAAAAACTGAATGGCAATCTACCACCCCCTGAAATATTATACTGTCCCGTCACCTGTGAATTGGAGTAAATTATTTCGACAGTACCCACATTTATACATGTATCTACATATTCAGGCGTACCCACAAATCAGGAAGGGGGGGGGGGGGGGCTAGGCAAAGAAAGTTTTAGGAAAGTGAAAACTTGTCTACGTGCATAAAAATAATAATAATTGTTTTTTTTTTTTTATTGTTGTTGCTGTTATTGTGCATTATTATTATTATTTTTAAAGACAATTAAATATAATAATGGAAATTGTTTGGCAATCTAAGCTTTGGGTTAACAGGATTCGTTTCCGAGAGTCACAGTCTGAAAGAGGCTAGGTCTTGATGTAAATATGTGTGTGTGTGTGTGTGCGCGCGCTCGTGTGTGTGTGTTCAAAAGCCTTAACAAAATATGGAGCTCCAAGTTATACAACATGAAGATCAAACTACGAATCGTAATTCTGGCGTTATTTAAATTCTTACATTTGCCAGGGAAAGTAATGACGTGGAAGTTAAGTGTATTTGAAAATAACTGTCTAAAAAAATTATGAACAAAAAGATGGGATAATTTTTTTAAAAAGGGAGAAGAGATCGGACAGATGTCCTGAGAAATACCTGTAGTGACTATAATAAGACAACGAGGGGTTGGGGGATATACGGGGTACATACACTGTGAGACGAAACAAGCACAGAATTACAGAACAAGCACTGAAATGGGAAACACGATCTGAAAAGGAAACATTAAGAACATAATTACGAGAAGCTAAGCCCTGGGCTAAACTGCATGCAGAAGTAGTAGTAGTGGATTTTTACCCCACTAGGAAATCACACAAAACACCCGATGTCACAAAGTGCCACGATGTGGATGAGGATCACCGTGGAGAGGTCCCAGAAACCGCGTTCAGTCATTAGACCATATTTATGGTCGGGCTATCTGGCGGCTTCTGGCAAGAGCCAAGGTGGGGCTTCAAATAACGAAAAATTGCATATCACAAGGAGATTACTGGATTACATGCAGAAGAGCGGAGTGGGGTAATCGAATGCAAGCCGTATACGACGTCTAACAGCCCAGGAAGAATTATATATATATATATATATATATATATATATATATATATATATATATATATATATATATATATATATATATATATATATATATATATAAAAATCAAGAGCTTTAAAGACATACTCTACCTTTGTAGTTCGTCACAGAAAACATCCACCTTTGGCTCCCTTTAACTTACTTTTGTGTGAACGCCTCTGTCAAATCGTCTATTTATATATGTATGAGATGATAAAGAAAGATCATTCAGGTGTGGTAGATACAGGGGTGGTTAAAGAAATTATTTCTTTATAAAAGAAGTAATGACAAATGTGCTTTTCAACATAGACAACATTCAGACAAGCTGATAACGATCTAATAGCAGCGGAAATATTATGTTCTCAGGCACAGATATAATGTGGGGGAGGGGTTGGGGGGGGGGGGGTTAATCCGATATATTCTGATTTTATAGACACACAAACAAACTGGGAAAGGTGAGGTTTAAGACGCTATCTTTCCTGGAAGTTTGAACTCATGCTTCCTGTTCCGTTATTTCATACTCACCTGGCCGGTTCCTAGTTCCGAAATTAAGGAATGACTGCCTACTTGAGGGAGGGAAGGAGGGATTGAATCAACGAATCATGACGACATATTTAGACACTTTCCGGACATTTTTTAACAGCTGGATAAACAACACAGCGCTGCTCCTTAAAGAAAACAATTTAAAAAACGAGTGCTAGTGAATCATACAGGACTTCAATCATTAAAAGTGACATTACCTGATGAGATAATGTAAGGTGACTCCCTTTCCAGTTAATAGCCTTTTTTTCTTCATATCTAAAAGATAAATGCATTTATCTATTTTTATTTTTACTGATGTATTTGTGTAGGTCTCTGTACATTTGCGTCATCTTAAACCTCTGTCACGGTGATAAAAGGTTAGTTGCGTATCCTTTACAGAACGTTGCAGAACCAACCCCAACAGCCCCTGGCTGTTGTGTGGTTTTTCTAGGCAAATTTACGTCCAGTAGTTTGCCATTGCTTTCACAGTGATAAAGCGATAATAAAAACAGCAATGACTTTCAAGATCGATTATCGAGTGAAATTCCGTTGTTACAGGAAAGGCCAAATTTAGGGCTTGAAATGGATTCAACTCTAGTTCATTCCTTACGGAAAAAAACTCTTTTGATATTCGTGTCAAATCTTTTTAATACTCCTCCTCCCCTAAGAACGGACGGACAGACATTCTTATTTCACACATACATACACACAGATATATATATAGACATGCACACACACACACACTCATGCGTACTTACATCATACGAATCATTGTACTTAAGGATTATGAGATGCTGAGGTAAAACTCTCATCAAAACCTGAATAAAGTTTTGGTAAATAGGCGTTTTTTGTGGGGTGGGGGGGGGGGGGGGGGGTTGGTGGTGGTGTTTTTAGTGTGTGTCTGTATGTGTGCGTGTATGGAAATTACATTCATTACTTAACTATTATGATAAGTTACATTTGCTAACAGCTTGGCAGGATCTAAACAGTGATCAAAAATATGGGTGACTGCAGGCCAGCTGATATAGGTGCATGCTTAACAAAACACAATGCTACAAATACCATAATCGTCTTGTCGAGCATTCTTTTAACTGATAAAACCATTTTTCCTCACAATTGTAATTATTAATATTTTTTTTTCTATCCCCATCTGTTTGAGCATGTTTCTTTCCGTAAAACCCTTTCCTGTTCTAATGCTTTTTGCATTTCCGTTCCATTTCTGTCTCGGGAGTAATTAATTTTCTTTAAAAGTTTTTAGTTTGGGCCTTTCTGCAGGATCCACGTCGTTTTATTCGTTTTTAAACATTTAAGGAGAACCATTCGGTTGTATCAGTGTTCGTCTTTCCTTACCCTTTTTTCGAGCTTCATAATCGCATATTGTGTGTGTGTGTGCGTGTTGGGGAGTGCATTTATTTGCCTTTTCTTCTTTATCCGTCAGTGGGAAAAGGGATCTCTAAAGAAAACACTGCCAAATTTCTTTTGCTCTAGTTCCCTTTATCTATTTTGTTGTTGTTTTGTGTGTGTGTGCGTTTTTTTTTTTTTTTTTGGGGGGGGGGGGGGGGGGGGGGGCGTTTTTATGTGGTCTTGTGTGTTCCAATAGAAACACATTCTAGTTATGCACTGGCTTTCTTTAATTTCAATGGTATCACAATCGTTGTCACTGCACACTGGGCATACCCATGCATGCTCAGTCTTCCGATGCAGCAGCCATCACAATACACCTTTACTAATTGTTCCCCTGGGGAGCTGGTCATAATGTGTTCTATCTCGGTCTCGAAAACGGCACGCCTTACTCCCATGTCACGCAATCGTGTAAGTGTCAAAAGATTCATCATTGTCCCCTAGCCCAGTCCGTAAAGAGTTGACGATATCTGTCCTGGCCATGCTTCTGCCCACATGCATTAGTGTATTGCTTGCCAGTTGGTCCGTTTAATCTAAACCTGTGAGGGTTTTCATGGCTAAATGATAAAACTGTTTCCCTCGGGCTATTGAGGTTAAGGGTTCCACTCACCGACCAGTTCATTCATTCACTGTCCTACTGTGCCAATATATTATATTATTCTTTCATTCGCTTGAAAAAAAAAAAAAGATCTATATCTGCAATGTTGTCTCTAGTATGAACTTCAGTCTTTTGTAATTCACTCAGCGACCCGTCAAGTTTGACTTGCACCAAAGTTTCTCTAGGCCAAAAGTTTTGCCTTGATATGTTGTATTTGGGACAGCCTATAAATTGTATGCAGGGATTGTAGCATATTTCTCAATTCCTTGTTATCCGGTGCAATCACTCCAATATCATGTAATTAATATAGTCCCGGACCTTTGGCCCCCCTCATCAACGTTCCCTATAGGATTTCTCTTGGACGTCGGCGTTTCCTCTATCAGTTTCACATTTCAGTGCCAACCTTTCGCCGGGGGCCGCAATATAGGCAGGTCATAGGTATGGCCAATTGTCTGAACGCCGTTTCTGGGACCTCTCCACGGTGATCCTCATCCACATGGTGGCACTTTGTGTCATTGGGTGTTCGCTTGTGTGATGTCCTGGTTGGGTAGAAAGTCAGTCAGCCTGCCTGGTTGGAGATTCTTGGTTCATCTCTTCTCAGAATGCAGTGTCCGTGGCTAAGGCGTTGCGAGTCCACCGTACCGCGATTGAAACCCACTGTTGGCTGCGTGGATTTTTAACATGGTATGAGGCGTCACAGGTCGACCCAGCCTAAAATGGGTACCAGAATGAATGTTCTGGGGAAGTAAAGATGGCTGGCGTAATGCTGACCACATTACCCACCTAGTGCTGATTGGTCTGCAAAAATATGGGTGCTTTTCCTATGTCTGATGCGCCCAAGGGGTAAAAATTTATTTTTACTTTTTTTTTTTAACATTACCTAGCAGGTGAAAAATAAGAGAAATGTCTGGGCAACAACTAATATCACCGGTTATAAGACAGAGAACTTGGTGCTGTACTCAACACATTTTGAGAAGATAGTGTAAAAGTAAAGATCCCTTTTCACGCCTTTAGAGCATATGGGAAGAGCACCCATATTTTTACAGACCAATCGGCCATAGGTGGGTAATGTGATCAGCATTACGCCAGCCATCTTTACTTCCCAGGATATTCATCCTGGTACCCACTTTAGGCTGGGTTGACCTGCGACGCCCCATACCATGTTAAAAATCCACGCAGCATGCAGTGGGTTTCGATTGCGGTACGTTGGAATTACAAGTTGGACTGGCAGAGCCTAAGCCACTGACACCCATGGACTAGGACAGTCTGTTAAAAGGAGAACCCTTTCCGCACCATTAGCATGTCTGGCATCATACACTAGACTCATATTTTTAGTCCAACTGACACACAATGGGTGATGTAGTCAACATCACGCCGGCCGATTTTTACTTCCCCTTTGTTCAGTTAACGAGTGCAGTTTTCAAGAAGATACAGCGGACCAGTTGGGAAAGTCTGTATGCCTACAAACTATCGATAACCAAGATGTCAAAGAACTGTCAACCGAATCCTATGGTATTCTTGTGTGCACTTTGAACAATTTCCCCTGTTAAATTACAAAGAATTTGAATAACAAAAATTTGACAAAATAAGGTTCCTTTCTGTAGCTATAAGTTTTTTTTTTTTTTTGGTAGTTAAGTGCCATTGCACAACTGCTGCTTTTGTTTTTGTTACATTATAGTTTACATGATGCAGGAGATCGCAGACTGTGGAGAGGCATGATCGCCCACACCAGTTGGCAAGGCACCTGATGATGATGATAGTTAATCTCTGTCTGAAGAGAATGGTGCAGCGAGAAGTGACCGGGAATCTGGCAGACGCTCAACACTCAGGAAAGGGCCTAGATGGACATAATCACATTGTTACTGGTATCACCATAACTGAAACTCTGTGCTTGCTGCTTAAGACGGGGCGTTTATGGGAATGTCCAGAGATCTATGATGTCAGTTTTCAACTCACTACCTAACATGCTGATCTTATTACAACATTTTATTTACTCTGACCTCTTGTGTGGTTTTTCTCAGTTCATGCACAGTTTTAACATTTCTTCTTCATCCGCAACCACCCTGAAATAGTGGTTGAGACACTGTGTAGTGGTTTCAAGCTAGGCTGCTATAAATGCTTCTTTCAGCCTGACAAATACAATAATTGGTTACCTTTTATGTGATGCCCCCCCCCCCCCCCCCCCCCCCCCCCCTCCCCAAAGATATGAGGACCAAACATTTGAATTCTTAGGATTTTCCTACATGAAAGAAAGTTAAGTAAGCAGTCAAGACTCTTCCTGTCTTTTCTCTGCATTGCATCTATCCCATTTTTTTTTAGGAGAATCTGTTTAAACTTGGTTAAGTGAGTATTTTTCCATCCGTATCCACATTAGATATGGACAATATACAGACAAGCTGAAAACTATTTACTCCAAGCTAAGATCTGGTTTTTTTAAAAAGAATGCAATAAATATCACAGCATGATAGAAAAACAAATGAGACAGTCCTTCTGAAGAAAAGATAACTGAAAAGTGATTACATAAACTAGATGTACACAGTCGGTGTTTTCTGGACATGTTTTGTTAACAGAACAAATTGATTTGAAGACTTGGTAACGTCTGGCAAGAGAGCAAAGAGATTATTAAAAATAGAAGAAAATAATAAATAAAAACTACGTGGATGGTTTAGTGATACTGATAGGGCAAGACAAGAACAATGACCTATTCTGAGATCTGATCATCAAGTCAGGTGGTGAAATATGACAGTCTTTGTCATCATGGTAAATGATGATTGTAGTCACTTTTTTTATGGGATTGGATAGCCGGTCAGATGACAATTCTTAGTCAAGGTTTACAACATACATGGTAGAACACTTAGTTACTGCACATTGCTTCTATCAACCCTTTCATCCCTCAAAAATGGATCATGACCCAAATGTTACTAGGATCACTATTAAATTTATTTATCAACATTTTAAAAAATGTATATATATTCAGGGTGTTATCAATAAACATGAACAGTTAAATGAGTTATCAATAAACACGAACAAAGGGTCCCTTTCCCACGTCTTTAGGCGTATTGGGAATATAAGGCTAGACCTACATTTTATAGACCAATTAGCACTTGGTGGGTGACGTGGTCAGCATCATGAGCCGCCTTTACTTCCCAGGACTGCATCTGGTACCCACTCAAGGCTGGGTCCACCTGGAAGTCTTGGTCATTTTTTAAGGGAAAAAAAAATCCGGCTCCATCAGGGTGCGAACCCACGATCTTCCGATCTGCAGGCGCGCGTCTAGCCGCCAAAGCTACGGCAAACTCCCAAACATGAACAAAGACAAGCAATAAAATGAATACATTCCCCAAGACCTACAAAAACAAAATGTATCGAGTGACTCACGGCCTGCGCTCCATGTATCGAGTGACTGACACCCTGAGCTCCATCTATCGAGTGACTCACACCCTGAGCTCCATCTATCGAGTGACTCACACCCTGAGTTCCATGCATCAAGTGACTCACACCCTGAGCTCCATGCATCAAGTGACTCACACCCTGAGCTCCATCTATCGAGTGACTCACACCCTGAGCTCCATCTATCGAGTGACTCACACCCTAAGCTCCATCTATCGAGTGACTCACACCCTGAGCTCCATCTATCGAGTGACTCACACCCTGAGCTCCATGCATCAAGTGACTCATGGCCTGAGCTCTATGCATCGAGTGACTCACACCCTGAGCTCCATGTATCGAGTGACTCACACCCTGAGCTCCATGTATCAAGTGACTCACACCCTGAGCCCCATGTATCGAGTGACTCACACCCTAAGCTCTATGTATCAAGTGACTCACACCCGGAACATTATTTGACATCAACTTAAAAATCTATTTTATTTAGACCCCCACTCCTCCCCATTTTCAATTAAAATATTATTTATTATTCTGACCCCTAAATTTTTGTGCAGGTGTAAACACAGATAATAGCATTAACTATGCATTTTTTGTGTGCAACAACTTATCTGTTGCAACTGCTGCTTCCATCTACAGTGAAATACATTTCTTTTGTCAGACTGTTTGTAGGCACTTCCCATGACTGTTTTATGCATTTAATGTGTGTCTGCTGTTGGATTTGCTAAGACTGCGGTCAGTGATGGACATTCTATATGGTTTTTGCTGGTTCAAGAATAGAGCAATTATGGGGTGACCCGCTTGCAGTGAAGCTGGAACTGCGATTAAACGATTCTTAGAATGACAAAGTTATTATAGGGTATAGATCCTGGAAGAAGCAGCAGGGGCCAACCAGCATAACAGTGGACACAGGATACCAAGGACACCCTGTGCCCTTGAAAACTGATGGAGTGAGAAGTTGGAAAAGGATTAAATGGCACAATGTGATGAGAACAATGTTCTTCATGGTGATAATGATACTATTTCAAAGGTTACAAATGAGTCAAGTCCATATCCATGATTGTGGATTCAGGTGGATCACAAGCCCGGCTAAAAATGATTCTACCGAAAAGTCTTTCAACCTCACTACTTCTTTATATGAGTGCCGGTCAATATACTGTCAATCTGTTTGGCTAATGAAGACACCATTTTTCAGGGTTATCTAGATGACCGTGCACTGAAATCAGGGCTTTTTTCCAGTGGTATGCATCACCTGAATTTGGGGGGGGGGGGACACTGTAATACACACTTTGTGGAGAGTACCAGCACCTTTTTCTTGAAAAAATAAAGCCTAACCTTAAATACACTTGTTTCTCGTTAATCGTCTGAAGGTGACAGGTTCATATCACAGTGCAGTCACTACAGTTTTCAATTTGTATGTTGCCTAGAATTTTCTCTATTTCTATTTTACTTCAACCACTTCTATTAAGACCAATTAATACTAGAAATTGTTTCTGCTTTTTTTATAGCCTCAGAAGTTCCCTAATAACTGGTTCTTCAGAAAAGTTGAAGCTAGCATTAGGATGACGATCTCTCTTCAGATTTCTCTTTTGTTCTCATTGCATCTTCCATGGCTTGTAGGGACAGCTCAAGCTGTGCTTTCAACTTTGCTTCTGTCTCTATGTAAGCCTGTAGGAACATAAACAAAAGACAATGTCACATTCTTATATAAACAACTCATCATCATCATCACAAACAACTTCTGCCGTTAAGCATCGTGTGGAGAAATAATTTGTGATCCGGTGCACGCTGGCTGCCACTAGCTATTGTCATGCTGTGAAGGCGTAGATTGACTTCAATGTTGTCAATCCATATTTTTTGGGGCCATCCTCATATTCTTGTAGCTGATCATCAGAGATGTAGTGTCTGTGGCGGTATTTGACATTTCTGCATTCTAACGAGATGGCCAAACCTCTTGATAAACTAGTATATGCTATTTATTATAAATGTAGATGTAATGGAAATGACACGCGGTGAACATATTTTGGGTGCACACTTTTCATTATAAATGAAATGTAGCAGAAATGACACGCAGTCAACATAATTTGGGCATGACAAGTAAATGAATAGGCTCAAGAAATAGGTGACAACTGGAAAAGATATATCCTCTCCCCTTTTATCTTTTAACTAAAAATATCAGTCATTCATTATCTTCTCAATATTCACCAGCTGTAAACTTAGACAAAAAGCTCTAGTTGGTCGTCCACTTCTGGACTGTAGTCTTGTTTGCAACCTTAAGTTTTACATGCACATTCATTTTAAAAATGTGTCTTATTTGTATGCTGTTAGTTCCCCACCTCTCAGGTAGATGCACTCTGAATTTGAAAAAAAAAAAACTTAATCAGCCATCTTGTAGGACATGCTTGTAAGGAAGAAAGTAAGTCTACCCCCCCCCCCCCCCCCCAAAAGATTTAGGAGCCGGAACAAACATGGAGATGATAAGTAGTTTCATAACTTAGCCCCTTTCAAAACATTTCAGTTACTCATTATTCACTCACAAACTGTTTTTACTGGCAGCCTCTGCATGAAGTGGCTAGACGCCTGCCACGAGCCAGAAGGCTGTCGGTTTAAATCTGCAACTGAGTCTTATTTTTTAAATGACCCAGCCTTAAATGGGTACTAGGTAAAGCAATGGGAAGTAAAGGTAGCCGACATGTTGACGACCACATCACCAAACGAGTGTTGACTGGGTAAAATATATAGGTCTAGCACTATATGCCCAATAGGCCTGAAGGTAGGAAAAATGGTGCGTCACTGCCTGCTTGCATCACTTTATTAGGACAGCTGTAGGAAAGCTGAGCTTGAGAACTGGCCCCTAGAGCAAATCCTGCAAGAGAGTACATGGTGTGTGTGTGTGTGTGTGGGAGAACCAAACTCATGGACAAACCTTGGGGCAGCCCTTGGAGACTTGCTGTTGATGTGCAGGTTCATGAAGGCTAAAGCAATGCCTGGGTGTGTGAAACTGATCACAAAGAAGAAGAACAGAAGTGCCTTTACAAATATATTTATAATAAACGCATAAAGATGTTTCAACACAACTGTCAATGAAGTGTCATGAAAGCCTTACCTTGACAACAGCGACAGGTTCTTCCTTCTCTAATCTCCCAACAGATGTTGCACACTGGCTGTCTGGGTGGATAATACAGTGCAGGATGACCAAGTCCTTGGCATCAGAAATCCTACAACAATACATAAATACAAAGGTACTGGGTTTCTGCAAGAGTAGTGTAGAGTAGAACATTCAATTCAATTCTCCAGCCCCTCTCTACTAGCTGCCTGACTATGGAGGCCATGGCAGTAACTACATCATGAGAAGATATCAAACCAGTTGCAAAGTAGAACCAGTCAGCCGCAACTTATCACAGACGTTGTGGCTAGAAAGTCTTTGTAGGTACATTATATGAATATATGATACCACGGTCAGTCTCTGTGGCTAAGGCGTTGCGAATGCGCTTTGTAATGCCGGGGTGCTGTGTTTTGATCCCAGCTGCGGGCCTTGTGCTGGTTCCGACAGTGGTATCGAGAAGCCGACCACCCAGAAAGCAATGGCAAACTACTGGAAGTAAATTTGCTTAGAAAAACCACAACAGCTAATGCTGGTGCTGGTTCTGCAACGTCCTGTAAAGGATTGGCAACTAGAATAACATGTTACCACGAATATGATGGACACACAAAATCAATCAGCTGAATTATTTCTGAGAGAAATCACATATCTGTCAGGATTCATAGACTATAAAAGAGCTTTTGACGGCCTTGAAATGAACCACTCTGGAAATTATTGGGGCACTATAGAATCATAAAGACAATTATCAACTTAGTCAAGGCAACATTATAAAGACATGAAATTTCGAGTTCTTCATGAAGGTAAGCTAACAGATACATTTGAATTTTTTAAAAACAGATGTGCGACAGAAGGAGACAATCATCATTTTTCGGCCATGTTATGAGAAGAGGGAAAATAGAACATGTTGTGACCACTGGAAAGATATGTGGAAGGAGAGATAGAGGAAGACAACGAGAGAAGATGCTTGACAGTCTTGTTGCATGGCATGGAGGTGTGTCGGCACACGAACTGATACATGCTGCAGGAGAACGCAGATTATGGAGAGGCATGATAGCCCACGCCAGTCGGCAAGGCACCTGATGATGATGATGTGCGACAGGGATGTCTTTTGTTGCCTCTTCTATTTTTACTGGCTATATATAGATTGGATTATGAAGACAGTAACTGCTAACACCAAGAATGGAATTCAGTGGACCCCTACAAAACAGCTTGATGATCTGGACTTTGCTGATGATATTTCTCATCTGTCCCACTCATAGAATCAGACGCAAGATAAATTAAATATACTTGATGCGAGCTCACAACATCTATGTCTGAAAATCCAAACAGGAAAGAAAGATAATGAGAATAAATAAGCAAATGATAATGCGGTTCTCTTAATGGTATCCAACTGCAAGACATGGAGTCGTACACCTTTTTTTGGGCAGTAATGAGGGAACTGAAAGGAATATTAAAATATGAATAAAAAAAGGCAAGATGAGCTTTCACAGCACTAAAGAATTTGTGGAGGTCAAAAGAAATTAAAACTAATACTAAACTGAAAATTTGTAATTCTAATGTCAAATCAGTTCTGTTGTATGGAGCAGAAACTTGGGGAGCAACTATTACTAATAAACTACAAATTTTCATTAACTGGTGCCTGTGCAGAATAGAGGGAACTAAAAAGTATGTATGATAGAATCACTAATGTAGAGCTCTGGAGAGAACTAAACAAGTTCCAGTGGATCAAGAGGTAAAGAAAAGCCCTGGCGTTGGATAGGACACACGCTGAGAAAACCTGAGAACAATTTATCTAGAATGTCTTTGTACTGAAACCCACATGGGCACAGAAATAAAGGAAGACCCAAAAAAATTCATTGGAGAATGGAGCTCAAGAGCCAAAAAAGAAAGATCTGGAGGACATGAGGAGAGCAGGATGCAATAGCTAAGGAAAGAACGACTTGGCGTGAGATGGTTGAGGGCTTATGCTCCATTACAGGTTAGAAAGGAAGAAAAACAGACAACTGCCATTACTGGTCTACATGCTGACTGATTTACTGAGGGGATTCAAGCACCCACAGACTGAATGGTTCTATATGCTGACTGATTTACTGAGGGAATTCAAGCACCCACAGGCTGAATGGTTCTATGTGCTGACTGATTTACTGAGGGAATTCAAGCACCCACAGGCTGAATGGTTCTATGTGCTGATTGATTTACTGAGGGGATTCAAGCACCCACAGGCTGAATGGTTCTACATGCTGACTGATTTACTGAGGGGATTCAAGCACCCACAGACTGAATGGTTCTATATGCTGACTGATTTACTGAGGGAATTCAAGCACCCACAGGCTGAATGGTTCTATGTGCTGACTGATTTACTGAGGGGGATTCAAGTACGCACAGACTGAATGGTTCTATATGCTGAATGATTTACTGAGGGGATTCAAGCACCCACAGACTGAATGGTTCTATATGCTGACTGATTTACTGAGGGGATACAAGTACGCACAGACTGAATGGTTCTATATGCTGACTGATTTACTGAGGGGATTCAAGTACGCACAGACTGAATGGTTCTATATGCTGACTGATTTACTGAGGGGATTTAAGCACCCACAGACTGAATGGTTCTATATGCTGACTGATTTACTGAGGGGATTCATGCACCCACAGACTGAATGGTTCTATATGCAGACTGATTTACTGAGGGGATTCAAGCACCCACAGACTGAATGGTTCTGTATGCTGACTGATTTACTGAAGGGATTCAAGGACCCACAGACTGAATGGTTCTGTATGCTGACTGATTTACTGAGGGGATTCAAGTACGCACAGACTGAATGGTTCTTCATGCTGACTGATTTACTGAGGGGATTCAAGCACCCACAGACTGAATGGTTCTATATGCTGACTGATTTACTGAGGGGATTCAAGCAGCCACAGACTTAATGGTTCTACATGCTGACTGATTTACTGAGGGGATTCAAGCACCCACAGACTGAATGGTTCTATATGCTGACTGATTTACTGAGGGAATTCAAGCACCCACAGACTGAATGGTTCTATATGCTGACTGATTTACTGAAGAGATTCAAGCACCCACAGACTGAATGGTTCTATATGCAGACTGATTTACTGAGGGGATTCAAGCACCCACAGACTGAATGGTTCTATATGCTGACTGATTTACTGAAGGGATTCAAGCACCCACAGACTGAATGGTTCTATATGCTGACTGATTTACTGAGGGAATTCAAGCACCCACAGACTGAATGGTTCTATATGCTGACTGATTTACTGAGGGGATTCAAGCACCCACAGACTGAATGGTTCTATATGCTGACTGATTTACTGAGGGGATTCAAGCACCCACAGACTAAATGGTTCTATATGCTGACTGATTTACTGAGGGGATTCAAGCACCCACAGACTGAATGGTTCTATATGCTGACTGATTTACTGAGGGGATTCAAGCACCCACAGATTGAATGGTTCTATAGGCAGTGAGGATGATTTATTGACTAAGAGGTGACATACAACACACTATCAACACACCGACAGAAATACCCAAAGGTGCTACCACTTACAGGTCCCTATTGAGCATGTCCAAGAGGAGCAGATCAGACATCCTGTTCCAGACAAGGTAGAAAGCCAAGCATCCAAAGTGTCTAGTTGATCTCAAGTCCTCAAAGGCTTTGGCATCGTTAACTGCACTGTACACTCTACGTGTGACCTAAAAAGGCAACAAGACATGAGTTAATGCACCAGTCTCAAGCTGTCAAGCTTTATAACTTAACCCTTTCACCCCGGGAACACACACATAAACAAAGGTCATGAACTGCTAGTGTTAGATGAAGTATTCATATCCCGACCTTACAAATGTTTGCACAGATGCAAACTCAGCCAAAAAATTACTTGTATCTCGTAAATAGGTCACTATTGGCAATTCTGAAAAGTGACAATTACCAGGGTTTTTACGCAACAGGAGTTGTTAGCTTCTCAGAAGGAAAGCAGTAAAGTCTTCTACAGCAGTGTTCTTCAACCATTTTTACACACATGGATTGAGAAAATACAGGCTACCTCGCCCCAGCCTGGCTGATGTTAAGGCAGAAGAAAATGTAGATAAAAAGAAATAAAGTTTTTGCCATCTCCAGAATGGAGGTTATCTGAAGTGCACTAACTGCTTCATGTTGATCTGGGTTTTGCAAGTTGGCCCTGTGAGCTTAAAATGGGTACCGAGAAATGTCATGAGAAGTAAAGCTGACAAAATTATCCACAGAATGGGGATTATATATGGGGAAACTATAAGCTTGATGTGTATAAGGGCATAAAATGATACTGTTTAATATAAAGATGATGGGGAAGAAAAAGTTAAGTAGAGCAATGCAATATCAGAAGGAGTTAAGCCTGACAAAGCAAAGACAAGGAATTCAAGAAAAATGCAATCAGGAATTAAAACAAAGGCTGCATGCTAAACAAGAACAGTGATGAGAAGAAAATATTTTTTTTAAAAACAACAGACAAATTGCAAAACCAATTTTAAAAACTAATATTGGAGACAGAATATGGAGGAGAAAAGCACGACAAAGCAGAGATAAGGCACTGAAGAAACATGCAATATGATAAAGGATTAAAATAGAGACAGCAGGAAGCTGCATAAGAAAACAAATAAAACAATGATTTGGAGAGGACACAAGGGAAAAAGAACACGGACACAAACAACTGCAAACATACAGTGCCATAGTAATATACAAATGACTACTCACATTTACATAATCTGGATCATCTGGTTCAAACTGGCAACAAGCTCTGTCCAGGATGTAGATGTACTGTTTTTTGGATATCATTCTCTGTAAGGACAGAGACAGCAGTAAGTTACAGGGATCATTCTATGGATAAGGACAGCAGTAAGTTGCAAGGATCATTCTCTGAATAGAAACAGCAATAAGTTACAGGGATCATTCTCAGGACTGAAACAGCAGTACGTCACAAGATCATTCTATGGATAGAAATAGCAGTAAGTTACGGGGTTCATTCTCTGTACAGAAACAGCAGTAAGTTACAAGGATCATTCTCTGGATAGAGACAGTAGAAGTATGAGGTATAATTCTCAGGACAGAGACAGCAGTATGTTACAAGGATCATTCTATGTAAAGAGACAGCAGTAGGTCACAAAATCATTCTATGGATAGAAACAGCAATAAGTTACAAGGATTATTCTTTGGACATAGTAAAAAGTTACAGGGATCATTCTCGGGATAGAGACAGTAGAGATTCTTTAAAAATGTGTTAACAGACCAGATAACTTTTTTTTACAAATGCGTGGAAGTGACATTTGCTAAGCCAGAAAAAAGTCAAAACACAAATTTTGTAGAATTTCACGAACAGACATAGTGGTAAGTTAAAGTTAACATTCTCTGTATAGCAAGTAGATATTTTTCAGCTGATTTGCTTAATTATGTCCATGTCTCACCTGCAAACTGAAAATGTCACAAACTTCGAATATCTAGGCTCCATAATAAACAGCAATGGAGTCTGTTCAATGGAATTCACAAGAAGGATGGCCATAGCAATACAAAGATTAAACAGTATTAAAGGTCTAGGTTATGCACTAACAAGAATATCTCCCAGTCTTTAAGGAAGAAAACTGGGGCTTTTGAGATCAAATGCCATAGAAAGATCCTCAGAATACCATGGACAATGAAGAAAAGAAATACTGACACTCTAAAAGATCAGTAGGTAAAGATAGATTTGCCAACAAACAGAATCTTGTCTTGGAGGTTTGAAATATTTTGGCTACATCAAGCACTGCAGCGAAGTGAAAACAATAATAGCAGAAGGCATGGTACCAGAAAGAAGGAGAAAAGACCGACCAATATGAAGATGGGCATGGGATATGAACAACTACTTGAATATGAAAGTGCTTGAGGCGGGATAGCTGGTGACAGACCAAGTTTCTTTTGGACAGACCGTGATAAGAGTGATGTTCTGAAAAGGAACTGTTACATCATGACGATGATGTTTTACTTACATGCAGCAACACAGGTTCTATATAGCATCTGATAAATTAAGGAAACCCTCTGCATGCTAAGGTCGACATGGTACATTCAGGTTTTAGTTATCAAAATTGTAGACAAAATGCCACGCACCCACACAGGCAGTAGGGATATAACTTAAAAAATTCCAGTGAATCAAGAGGTGAATAAAATACGGTGGTGGTGGTGTTAAAGAGAACATACACTAAGAAAACATTATAACTAGAATGCCTTTGCACTGGAAACCCTATAAAAGCAGACAAAATGCACATAGAAAATGGAACTAGAGAATTAAGTCAAGGTGAGGAGGACATGGAATTAGCTGTATGCAGTAGCAAAGAATAGGATGACCTGGTATGTTGAGGGGGCAATGCCTCATTGGGGGATGTAGTGCAGAAGAAAGAATAATTAAGGAATGGCTGAAAATTGATTACTGAGTTACAGGGTACAGATATCCCAGTTTAGCTGTAAACTACAATACGACATGTCAACACACCCCCTTTTTTTAAAAGCAGACACAGAAGAACTCCTCCCAACTCCCCCCCCCCCCCTGCCTTTTCCCTCCCATTTCCCGACCAACCATTTCAACAATACATCTGTTTAGAGGTTACCTCTAAATTTTGCTCATTAAACATCCGAGGCTTAAAGAACTCTCTCCCTTCCCTGGGGTTGTAAATCTGATTCATTCTCTCTCTGGTACTACGTGGTGCAATATTCAGTGAACCATCCAGTTCTCTTACAACAACATGTCGGTGCTGAAAAGAAATCAGAAACATTTGTAAGCCTACCAAATCACCATCTTCATTAAAAAAATATATGTAGGCACTAAATTTGTCCACAGAAGGTATGAGTTTTAAATGTATATTTGGCCACATGAGACATTTACTCATCTTCAGTGGCATCTGTCAGCTGGTAAGTTAACCAAGCCATTAGGGAAGATGTGCTTGACTACTCTAGTATATTATATATTTATGTAATTGCCTGACCCAACATGGGACAACTTTTGGTATTACTCTGAACAGTCACACTGTCTCGTTCAGCTGCGAGATTTTGTGGCGGTTCCCACAGGCTGTCCTATAAGATACCTTCCTTTGATATCTATACACTCCATGAGGAAAATTGGCTCGAGTTTGTTCAACAGGGTCTACACACTGTGTCCCAGGCGAAAGTGCACAGCTTTCTTTTTGCAACTCTCTTTTCTTTGAACGACTGTTGTTTTGTAATGTGTTATTGTGAGAAGCTCACAATATCAGTGCAAGGAAGAAGTATTACAGGAGGGAGAGCTGATCAGGGTTCGTAGCCAAATTAACCAATATTTTTCAAGGGTTTTTTCAAGGTATTTTTGTTTTGTTCAAGGATGTACTAGGCATATGTGGTATTTGTTCGCGCCTACACGAGTGGATATATGTGCATAGAAAATGTGTTTACATTTTGTGTAGACTTGGCAGAAGGGAGCAAACTAAATCCCTGTCTGCTCTAGACCTGGTACCTGAAGGAGAAAGAGGCAGAGAGTCACACATGTGGTACAATTATATCTTCCGCATCCCCCAAGCTCATCCATATGCACATACATGGAACAATTTATATAAGATAGAGTTCTTGTGTCTTTCCTGTGTTTAACAACAGGGCCAGTGATAGATCAAATACGTCATTTCAGTTCAAGATTGTTTATTATAAAAATAAAATGTCAATTCAATTACAACACTGACGAACACATCAAGTTATTGTTGCTGGCTTTTCATATTTGACAATAAGTTCATTTAACATAGTGATGATACATAAACTTCAATATAAGTTGCTATGATGTTTGTTGTGTATTTTAACAAGTTATTTACTGTTACTAAAGTCTCTTCTTAAGGTATTATAGAAATATCTTTCTTTTTATCCAGGTTTACTCTCTTTAGTCAACTCTATATTCACAAGCTTCAGTGCTTGACGACTGCCTGCTTAACGCCTATAGACTGTCTGCCTGATTTCTCTCTTTACCCCATGCTTGTGTTTTTTCCCATTTCTCCAAAGCGTGGGTGGTCTAAACATCATCCATTTCTCACCTCCTCACACCTGTTGTTGTTGTTGTTGTTATCGATCCAGCGGCGCATGAGCTTTCGCCCTTTGGCCCAATGCCATGTAGTGGAATTTGTATGTTTTCACAAGCTGTTCTTTTCCTCCGTACAAGGTGTTCCACTTGTCTGGTCTCGGAGGGAGTAGCGTTCTTCTTGTCTCACTGAGTTTTGGGCACTCAAAGAGATGGTGTTCAACAGTTTTGTAGGGGTAGTTACATAGCTGGCACTCTGGGGAGTGTTGTGGCTGTATTCTGTTTAGGTGTCCATTGAGTGGAGTATGTTGTGTTCTAAGTCTGAAGATGGTGGCCTGGTCCCTTCTTGTTAGATGGTTAATGCTGTCATTAGGATCAGGGCCAGACATATGTCTATACACCTCTCTTCTAGTGTCTCCCATGGCCCATCTGTTCAACCAAGTCTCTTTGTTTATAGCTCTTATCAGTGTTTTTGCTGTCTGGAGGGTTGTCGCTGTAGGTGGTTGTTCTTGTGTTGCTCCTTTCTTTGCCAATCTGTCAGCTCTGTCATTACCTGGTGTGCCGGAGTGACCTGGAATCCACTGCATCACTATTCTGATGTTGTATGAGGTAATAAGCTGATCAGCATCCAGGATTATCTTGGCTATGTCAGTTCTGCAGCGTTCACTGCCCTCCAGAGCTTGAAGGGCAGACATTGAATCTGAGAAGATGACAATATTTTGGACCTTTCACCCGACTTCCTGGTTCATCCCGTCTTATCTAAAGCCTGGCGTTCTTCAACCAGTGTTCCAATCTAGGTTCCTGGCATGCAGGCTATCATGCCATTCAGTAATGGATTGGCGTTGATGCTGGTCTCTGTGTATATATTCTTGATTGTACTTGTTTACCCCTCCTACTGACTCCTTTTCCAGATGTCCTGAGTTTATCACTTCTGTTCACGGTTGTACCACAAACAGAGAGATAGGGATGGAGACAGATTGTGAGGGATAGTGGCAGAGACAGCGAAAGACAGTCAGGGAGACCATTACAGAGAGGGACAGGCAGGTAGAGAGATGAGCAGATGAAGAGAGGTCTCCTAGTCTTCTTCTTCTTCGTGTTCACCAGCTGTACACTCTGGCGGAAAGTTCTGGTTGCTCATCCACTACTGAACTGCAGTGCTGCTCCAGAACCTGAGTGTTGCATGTGCATCAGTTTTACAGATCTCATTCTCTTGAATACAGACTGTTGGTTCCTTGCCTCTCCGGCAGATGCACTCCGACTTCAAAGGAAGCTCCCCAATTAGTCGACTCTTACGACATGCTTTTGGGGAGGCAGTGGGTCTATTCTTGTTTTCCCCACAATGGGGCCCCGGAACCCACATGGGGGGGGGGGGGGGGGGGGAGTCTCCTAGTGACAGGTTCGATTCCCGGCACAGTAACTAGAGCTTTTGATTTTTATGATGTTTGGTGTATCCTTATACCTTTCTACTTCTTTTTATAAGTGCCAATCAGCACACTGTCTGTTTGTTTATTATATATACAGGTTGTTTGGTAGGTTGTGATGACAGCAAATTTCTAAGAAAGAGCTGTAACAATGAGGGGTAACATGTTTTTTGATAGGTTGAGATGGCATGAAATGTCTTCTATGAAAGCCCTGTTAGATGGATGTGACAATGAGTTAACAGGTTACTCACCCTGTCCTTGACACCGTAGGATATGTCTGTGAACACATATTTGGCCGTATCAAAATCTGCCAGATCTGGGTCTAGTGACAGAGGTGTTGTATTATCTTTATAAGGATTCATGAACGGAGGCATCTGTAATTTTTCTTTCAACCGGCCATGTGCCTCCTGCAGTTCCTGTGGAGTAATCGTAAAATAAAAGTTTAAGTTCACAGGACTTACTTCATTGCACTTGGTTTTCTCCCAGATAACTCCTCTCTCACTACAGAATGACTAGCCATCTGCTCAGAGTGTAGCAGAAGGCACAAACTCTGTAGCTCCAGCAACAATCCTCAGGGATCAAGTGACCATAAAACACCTACTTAACCTACGACCTGTGCGACTTACGACCAAACAAAAAATAATAAATGAAGAAAGATTACTACATTGATAGGATCAAAAAGTTCCCAGAACTAATGCATATTATGCATTTTCTCCATTATACACGATATTTATATGTATACAGATTTAAATTTTGTGTTTTATACACAATTTTTATAACCTGTTTGAGAATTAAAAGTGTTGGAAAAAAATCTGACTTATGATCTGTTAGTGGGAATGGAACTTGGGCATTAGTTGAGGAGACTGTATTTTTTTAATGTGGTCTTAAAGAAGTAGAGAAAATAGCAGCCCCTTCACTTTATTTGAGAGCCACCACAGGGCAGTGGCTAGTATGCTCAAGTGCTAGATCCATATTTTGACAGATCAATCAACGTCTGATGAGTGATATGGTCATCATCAAGCTGACCATCTTTACTTCCCAAGATACTCACAGAGCATGTTCAGAAAGGTGGACACAGGTTTGCTACATGCAGAGTAGCAAGCAACACTTCAGAGCTATAGGACAGTGAACACCCCTATTTGATCTACATTATTCTGGTGTGTTAGGAAATGAACAGGCAGACAGATGGCCTAGTTATGTACCACTAGATGATAAACTAGTGCATGACAAGGTAGAGTTGTAAGGGCCTTTTGTGAGTGAGTAAACAGTGCGGCAGCACAAATAGATCATCGTCTAAAGAGAACGATTCAGCGAGGAGTGGCCAGTTGATCTGGCCTAGGCTTAACACTCACCAGATGGACGTGATGGACAAGCAATCAGGCTGTTACTGATACCATCAAAACACTGCACTTGCTGCTGAAGATGGGGATGGATCACTTGTGAAAATGTCCTAAGTCCTGTGATGTCAGTTCTTAACTAAAAACTTTGCAGCATATTTCCCGGAACCCATTTCTGGAAAGGTTAACTGAACAGCAGAGCTCGTTTACAAAAATCTGCCTTGATGTGGATTTTAGGCCAAGATCCTCCTGAGTATGGTGAGGCATCTAACCAGTGAGTTATCATGGCTCTTCATCTGCATTTTAATAGTAAAATTAAACTTCTGACATCTCTGTGTTTCAGGATCCTATTTGGGGAGGGGAACCTGCCCGAGAGCTTCAGGTAGTGGCAGCTACTATAGGATCTGTTTGCTCAAATCAGACATTTTAGACCTAAATGTGCATATATAGAAGCCTAGCTCTAAACCGCAACATTTCTTTCCCACCATTCTTTAAAGGACAAAGGAGGAAGAAGAAGAAGAAGAAAAAGAAGAAGAAAAAAAGAAGAACAACAACAACAATAACAACAACAAATAGACACTTCTGACCACTAAGGAAGAGAACAATAAACAACAAACAAGATTTATCTTAACTAAAACACACAATAAACAACAAACAAGATTTACCTTAACTAAAACACACAATAAACAACAAACAAGATTTACCTTAACTGGAACAGACAATAAACAACAAACAAGATTTATCTTAGCTAAAACACACAATAAACAACAAACAAAATTTACCTTAACTGGAACAGACAATAAACAGCAAACAAGATTTATCTTAACTAAAACACACAATAAACAACAAACAAAATTTACCTTAACTAAAACACACAATAAACAACAAACAAGGTTTACCTTAACTAAAACACACAATAAACAACAAACAAGATTTACCTTATCCAACTGTTCATCAGTCAGAAGCTTGTACACAGCCCTCTGCAGCGGTTTCTTCTGTGGTCCTGCCACTTTCAGGGCGTTGAACCCAGTTATACGCTCTAGCAGACCCTGCACTTCCTGTTTACTGAAGATGGGGAACGGATCCTGGTGGGTAGCGCCTTGTGAGTTTTGAACTGTGTTTAGTTTGTCATCTTCTGAGTTTGCTTGTTGGTCTTTAGGTCAAAATTGACAGAAAAGTCAAATTAATGTAGCACAATAGATATTGTTCTTCAACTATGTGCATTTGTAAACACTAACTGCCTTATCTGGCACATATTTTAGTTTCAATTATCAAGAACTTGAGCTGTAGCAAAAGAGATAAATGCAGTGAACTCATTTCAGGGAGGAAAAAATATACCCACTGCAGTATTTACCTGCCCCTCCCCCCTCCCCCACAAGCATGTCATAAATGTAAACTAATTAGGGATGTTTATTTCTAAGTCAGCGTGCATCTGTCTGAGACGGAAAGAACCAACAGTCTGCTTACAAATAATCCTGATTTGTAAAAGACGTGCCTGCTAAACTCAAGCTATGGAACAATACTAAAGTCCAGAAGTGAATGACCAATCAGAACTTTCCGCTAGAGTTTTTTACAGCCGGTGAACGTGAAGAAAAAGGGTACTTGCATTAAGCCATCCCAAGCAACACAGGCATTAAAAAAAAGCAATGAAATGACAAACAAATGGACTGAGGAAACCTAGCCATCCAAGAGATATGATAAAGTTTGACTCAGGGTTACTACTGTCCAGACGTGTCATAGGGTCATTGATATTTCTGTGAGACACCTCAACCTACAGATAAGTGATTCTCTGTATTTTTTATTGTAACTGTACTATTGTCCATTTGTGTGATGTACTGATACATTGAGGGTAGTCGCCGTGGCCAAGCGGCTAGACGCTCGTCGCAGATTGGAAGGTCGTGGGATCGCTCCCTGGCGGAGCCGGACTTTTTTCAAAGATGACCTTGGCTCCCAGGTAGACCCAGCCTTGACTGGGTACCGGGTGCAATCCTGGGAAAGTGAAGTCAGCCAGCGTGATGCTGACCACATCACCCATCTTGTGCCGATGCCCTATACGCCTAAAGGCGTGGAAAAGGGTGCTTACTTTTTTTTACTGATACATTGTATCTACCAATTTAAATGTAGCTGTGAAGCTGCTTATGTGGGCAGAACTGATCGATGCTTGGAGAAAAGAGTTGCTGAGCCCATTCCAGTATGGGTGGAAAAAGCCATGCAAAATTATATTTAAATAAGAATACTGGCCGCAAAGATCACCCCTCTGCAATAGTACGCCATCTTTTAAAATCTGGACACGTGTAACTAAAGACAATGCATTTCAAATCCTTCATACGTCAACCAATGGCAGAACGCTAAGATTTCTTGAAGCTTCCGCGATTCGTCACCTGCCCCCAGAATTTTGTATACAGAAAGAGATGGTTCTGTCTTTACAGCTACCCTGGTAAAAAAACATGCAGTTATGTTTAAATTGTTTTGATTGTTGTTGAAATTGTACTTCTGTTATAAAGGATTCACTCATTTGCTTCATTTATGTATTTATTATTTACTGATTTTATTAGATTATTAGTACTAATCTAAACCGCCTAAAGAAATTAATCAAGAAGTTAGTTTTGTGTGTCATTTTATTACTTTTAACCCTCTTAGCACGGACTGGCCGATTATCGGCCGGCGGATGACTGGCCAAAACATGGAACGGTCGATCATCGGCCCGATCGTGTTTCGCCGCGAACCGCTAAGAAATCTCCTACTTTGAAACACTGGAAGTGATTCATTCATATTCACTGCTGTATTAGCTTTACACATGGCGACTTTCGAGTGTTTGGTATCGAAGTGAAAATTGTTGAATTATTTAGATAATGACCTGAACCGCTAAAAGTATGTCTGACTCGTATGTTTATGCCCCTAAACTTGATGTTGATAAAACATTTGAATCAAGTGATTACACTAATTCTGTTGATACTGATGCAGGATCCAGTGTTAGTAGTAATAGTGGGGAATCAGATGGGTACCCTGTTGTGTTCAGACCATAGCCCAACCATGGCTCAGGGTACATCTACCCAAAGATGTTGGCACTCCGGCACATCCATTTCTTGTGCTGACTAATGGTCAAAAACACATGTCACCTAAAGATATTATTGCTGTTTCATATATAAAAATACCTGTTTTTGACTATTGAATTGCTTACAACATTTGTAAAAAGGCCAAGGATCAATAAAAAGATTTCAAATAAAATATATTTTTGTTTTTAGTTGTATATTTCATGCATTGAAGTTGAAAATTCACATTCTAATTTTATATTTTTAGATATGCAAATGAGATAATTTGCATATACACCAATTAATTTTAACGATATTGTGAAAATCATGAACTTCAATCTATATCCTTTAAATAGATATTATATTTCATGGGGGTCAGAATAACCGAAATGTGTCAAAAAAAATTAAATAAAGTAATAACCAAATTTACTGAAAAAATGCTCCATGTTTTTGGCTAGACATCTGAAAAACTTCCTGTGCTAAAAAAGGGTTAAAGGACCTTTTTTTTTTTTTTACAAATAGGACGTTGCAGACAAAAACCAGCCCTTTCAATTTTTCAACTGTTTGTTCACTAAGAAATATTACGTTCAGTCAGTAATGATGAGTAATGTCAATGATAATGTGTTTGTTTACTACACGGCTGGAACATAGCAATACTTGATACTATAAATAACTATTGAAACCAATGCAAGGTGGTCTGCTGGCAACTGCTGACAGACTTGAATGAGGAACCGACGGTACTAGTAACGATCAATCGACTGAACTTTTCAATACCTATCCAACTATGCTAGTTGCATAATCATAATATTTTGTTGTCAGTTAGTTAAGTTAAAATATATTCTGAAAATTAGACTAAAGTGAAAAGACAAAAAGTGTACACAATACTGACATACTGATACTCTGCACTTTTTACATAAAACTAAAGTAAACAATACGAAAGATCTCACATTTGCCTGTTGTCACAAAATTTCTCCTCGTGCAACCAACAGCCACGGCGTCCTTCAATGTCCTGATACTACCACAACTCGTGTAGGACAAGAACGTCCTAGAGATGAAGGAGGCTGCCATTTTGGTTGTATGAAAAACTGGAACAGCGAGCCGAGCAGCCCTTTGCGGCTCTGGTTAAAGTAGGGGACAGAACTCTTGAGATTTTCCGGTTAGTAAGCTAAACAATGGTTAAAAAATGGTCGAATGGTATTTATCTGAAGTTATCGGCGGCCGTTTACCCATTCGCTCGCCTGTAGACGACTTTTTCGCCAGTCGGGAAAGTATTTGGATTTGTCTCCCATGATCGCATCTACACTTCTTCTTCTTCAGCATTCCGAGCCCTTGAGGTTTATTGCTGCAGACATCACCCGCCTTTATTTATCTCTCTGGTTGGCCTTCTCTTTCCAGATGGTGACACCATGAACGGCTCCAGTTGACAGCTGCAGCCGGTCGTGGTGACACCAAGTGTTTGCAGGTTTGCCTGGACATTATCTCTCCATGGTCTTCTTGGTTTGACTCGTGGTCTGCGACCATTCACCTCCCTTGTGCATACAGTTTTTACTTCTCTCTCATCTGACATTGTTTCAATATACCCCAACCATTTCAGTCTATTAGCTCTCATGATGCCAGTGGTCAAAGGTGATTTAAACAGATTATGAATTTCGTTGTTGCTTCTAACTCTTCGTTTCCCGCTGTATACATCTTTGATGGGTCCAAAGATTCGTCGTAAAACTGTTTTCCAAAACCTGTAATAAAGCTTTATCTCTTAGTTGTGCTCCAAGTTTCAGAGCCATATAAAACGACTGGTCTTATCAATGTTTGATATATTTTTATCTTGGTGTTGCGTGACAGACACTTTGACTTTAGTAGATGTTGAAGAGCCTAGTATACTTTTTTTCCAGATTGTATTCTAGATTGTATTTCTTCTCTCGGCATATTGGAGTTTGTATCCAAGCACTTATATGTTTCTCTTCGTTTGATTCTCGTATTATCGACTTGTATGTAGCCGGAGTTTATATCCTTCCCTGTCTAGTTATTATCATGTATTCTGTCTTATCTTGATTGATAACTAGTCCCATTTTCTGAGCTGATTTTTTAAGAGAGTCTGTGTTTGAACAGTCTCTAGTTCATTTTCTCCAACAATATCAATGTCGTTTGCAAATCCAAGTACTCTTGAAGTTTCTCATATAGCGCACTCTTGTTTCAATTTCCTTATAATTTTCTCCAGGGGTAAGTTCAAAAGAAATGGGAACAGAGCAGCACTTTGCTAAAAACCAGATGTTATTTGAAAAGGGTCTGACTTTCTGCCTTTATATATTACAATATTACAAGTGTTTTCCATACAAAGTTTGGTCATGGTAATTAACTTCTTTGGTATTCCAAAGTTCTTCATAGCATTCCCTAAACTGTTTCTTTGTGCACTGTCATAAGCCTTTTTAAAATCCACAAAAACATTGTGTACATGGGCTCTCCTTCGAATAGCGGTCCCAAATTATCGAGGCCGAAAATATACCCTAACAGGGCCTCATTCACATATAAATTGCGCACTTCCAGAGACTTGAATTGTGGACTTCTGACGACTACCGCCACCGCTGAGAGTATCTCCTACGCCGCTAGGCGCGGCGTGGAACTGGGCTAAACTAGATGGCTGGAACTCACGAGCAGCAGCTACCGCATCTCCTGCAGCTTCCTTTATTTTATTTGCTCCTGGCTACAACGTCTAGGTTAGCTGAGCCATGTGCAACATGGCTTCTACGTATTTATGATAATTAACAACACGGACCGTAACTGTCGTTTCGTATTAGGAGCGTCTGATAGCTTCGTCTGTAAAATTTGGGGGAGGGGTGAGTTGGAATAAATAGGACACGGATCTCTTTATTCTTATGGCATAAACATATTGCAATGTACTGAAAGTATTACTACAGTTAATTATCTTCTATAGCCTCCATCTTTAGTACAGAATATGGTATCACAAATCGCTATAATTATCCCCTAAGAGAAAGTACACAGCTTGACTATTAAAACACAATACAGGTATATTTCACGTAGGTAATTATCAGATGATTCGGTAGTGTAGTGGTTATCACTTTCGCCGCACACACTGAAGATCCTGAGTCCAATCCCAGCTGAAACTTACTTTAAAATATATTTTTTTATTATAAATTTTCAGTATCATTGTTCTTAGGACACTTTTCACAACAGGTGATCGAAGTGTGAAATAAATAAGGAATAATAGGGGACTAGAATTAATTATAATGGCCAAAAGTGGGAGCCGAGATCACGTATTGGTCCCCATCTGTTTGTTTCCACTTTAAGTGCTATCATCATATTAGGGTTGCTGGGTGATAGCTTCATTGGTCAAAACTGAGGGCTGCTGTCAGCGGCTCTCAATCTTCCGATTGCGACCCTTTCACAGGTGTGGCCTAAGACCATCGGAAAACACATATTCTTTAAAGTTATCCGGCTCGCTAGCTCAGTTGGTTCAACCTGACTGCGCGGCAACCTGGTAACGAACTCCTTGTGGTCCATGTTCACGCCCGGGGGTAGGCAGAAAAGCCACATTTCTCCAAGATTTATGGTATCATTCATGGAATCAAGGCCGAAAGGTTGCGATATCCAAAGTACCGAGCTAAACTCGTGGTTTCTGAATTAAAAAAAAAAAATAAAAGATTTGAAGGAAAATAATTGTTTGGGGTGTCGCCACAACATGAGGGAACTATATTTAAGGGTCGCGTCATTAGGAAGGTTGAGAGCAACTGCCCTAAGTCAAAGCCCAGGGTGGAATGGTAATAGCGCACTTTGACCCACCCGTCTCCTGGCACAGTATTATCAAGCTTGCACCCGTGTCTAACAGTGTCTTCAGCAAGATCTTCTTCTGTTCAGGCTGTGATCCTTAGCTCTTCCCACGTCCGACTTTAGCTGTTAATAAATAGAGTCGGACGTGCTCTACAGAAGGTTTCCTGCATAAGACGCAATAAATCCCCCATGCACTTCCTCTGCCAATTGCGATGATAATTACATTACCTGGACAGGACTTGTCAATGAGTTGTTGATCTTCTGAATCTGCTGCGCCTGCTGGTCAGTCACTGCATTTCGGGCCCAGTGTAAATAAACGACATTCATTCATCATTGGCACCTTTCCGTCTTTCCAGAGGATAGTGTTATATTGCGCTATGAAGAGGCAGGAGACTCACAGCCCATGGCGATGGCGAGTGTGACTAGCCAGACCCGCCCGTGTCAAGAAAAGTCTTCCACAATGATACCATGGGATTTCAGGACCATTGTTAACAACATTTGTGTTTAATCCGTTTCTTTTCAGACTCTCAGCTCTCATCCTTTTTGCAATAATTTCTTCCTTCAGTCTCATTTCCTTCCTGATATGCTCTTTCCACACAACACGGTCCATGGCATTTTGTTCCCATGAGTCCACCTCATTACCTGCATCATTCATGTCCCGCTTGCATTCATCTTTATAAAGTAGTAGAGGTCGGCCTCGACGTCTTCTTCCTGTCTTTAATTCAACATAAAGGATGTCCTTAGGGACTCTGCCATCCTTATTCTCCAGGTGTGACCCAGCCACCTGAGCCTTCGTAGACTGAGCATGGAAAAGACTGTTGTAGTTCCTGCTCTTTCCATCACCTCAGTGTTTAAGTCGACAGTCTATGCTATAAATCACAAACCCTTTATGTATTTCGTGTGTGTGTGTGTGTGTTTTTTTTTTTTTTTTTTTTTTTTTTTTTTTTTTCATAAATGAAGTGTGTTTCCTTGAAACCACCAATCTAAATGTGTCTGAGACAATTCATTTGTCTGCCTCCCAAAGTGTTAGTCACCTCGGATGTATTTAGGGGCAATGACAAAAGATATGGCAGCGGCGGAGAAAAAGATGAAGTAGAGGACGGGATATTAAATATAAGGTTTTAGCTAGACCCCTATTTCTACTAGCTTTCACTATCCAGAGCGAAGCCGGGCAATTAAGTCTAGTATCACCACACACACACAAACAAACAGACCACAAAATACTCAAGCTAAATGAGCTATTACTTTAATTGAGTTTATTTTTCTGAAAGCACACAAACACAATTATTGTAATCGTCAAAATAAAATAATGAACCGCAATGGCATAGGAAAGGTAAAAATGTTTTCTAAAAATAAAGAATCAAAGATTATTTCGTCATTATTAGTCGTTAACTGGTGCCAAGTATTGTCAATAATAAACGACAACGTTGACGCGCTTTTCCCCCAAAAAAGAAAAAAAAGAAAATAAGGTTTTCACCAGAAATATACACAACAAAAGTCCCATTCTGTTCACAAATGTGAAAACGTTTTTCATGTTAGTGTCTGGCGATTCTGTGCTCATTTTTTCTCAGGACGTGTCCAGTATTGTCTGTGTCTTATAGCTTTTACAAATGGTTGCCCATCATATCTCTTATTTCTTCAGGCTTTTAAATTCATCCCCTTTTATGTTCAACATTTTCCCTATGCATTTTTGTTCTCTTTCTAGATGCATTTAACTTTCATTTCATGTTTTAAGAGTTTCTCCAACTTTCGCTAGCATATGTAAACACTGAAATAAGATTAGAATTTAAAATAGTAACTTAAAAAAACCCAATAATATAGGATAACTATTTTGTCTGTTGTCGTCCCCCCTCGCCCGTTTCCCCCTTTTTTCACCCCCCCCCCCCTTTTTTTTTTTTCAGGTTGTTTCATGATGGTACGACACTCTGAGACTAAAAATCTCAGCCTGCATGGCAAACCAACAGAACAAATCCCAGATACCTAATTACCTCCTCAGGATTTAGATGTGGACACCACAAACGCCTATACCAGCTGATGTAGGTAACCTACAGTCGTACGCGGGTATGAATTATTGCAACAGATATCTTCTTCTTCTTCTCTTACTTTTTTTTTTTTTTTACTTTCTCTTTTGTCGCGTGGGATATCGAGAGAGATAACAAGCTTTGGCTCTTCTGGCCGTCTCGACTATAGACGCATCGCGCCGTGCAAAGTTTCTCTGTTGTTATCTTTCTATTTTGTTCCTGCTCTATGTCCTTCTTTACTTTTGTTGGATGTCTTATATGGTATGGCAACACAATACATTCTCTTTAAGTGTGTAAAACATTTCATTTTCTGAGTTGTGGTTAATTTAGAACTGATCTGTGCCGACTTAAATTTTTTTTTTTTTTTTTTTTGAGAGAGGGGGGGGGGGGGGGTTAATTTACCTTTTTTTTTCTAAAATTACTAAAGGTTCAAGCTTTCGGCTAAAAAATGTAACATTTTAGGCAATTCAAAATCTAACATAGAGATCATCCGTTACTTTAACCCACTACTTTAATAATACAATGTTAATACGATTGTCTAAATACGAATTGTACAGTAACTATCGTAATCACAACTAAAAGTCTTGACAGAACAGTATCTCAATTAATCATTATCATCAATTTATACTTTTGCTGTTAAGCGACTTGGGAAGGAATATTTTGCAATCAGATGCGTGATGGATAGCAATGAACATCGTTATTCGTTGTCGACGCAGAAGGTCTTTACTATCTAAATTAATGACGACACAAGCTGCATAAATAATTGTATAAAGAAAATATTATACGGTATATAAAATAGCAAACGTATAACAAACTCTAAAAACTAAATGAACACTTTATATGAGCGTTAAACAGGATACTGATGTGAAAATTACTACTACTACTTATAAAAATAAGTGCTGGCGTCCAGTCTGATTTCTCAGAATACGGCGCCACCGTTTGAATGCGATGTAAGACTTTGTGATTCTGTTCAGTCATTAAGAATAAAATCGCTCAGAACTGTAGGGGATCTGCGTTCCGATTCTTTGTCTGATGACTGATCACTGAACAGTGAAGCTGTTAAAATCACAAGATCACAAGATTGTGTATTACTTTACAAGCTGCCTGCTCTTGTCCTTTATATATATATATATATAAAAAAACTTACTTTAACTTACGAATGCGATGTCCAGTCTTTATTGCAACCTTGCCAGCTATTTACGAAGAAACACGCTTTACAGGATGGGCAAATACAACTCTTTCTTTTCTTTTTTTTTTTTCTTTTTTTTTTCGATTTCACCTCTCTTCTCCCCCCCCCCCTCCCCCATCCTGGTCCTGCTTCTTCTTCTTTTTCTTCCTCTTCTTCTTCTTCTTCTTCTTCTTCTTCTTCTTCTTCTTCTTCTTCTTCTTCTTCTTCTTCTTCTTCTTCTTCTTCTTCTTCTTCTTCTTCTTCTTCTTCTTCTTCGTTTTCTTTTTCTTTTTCTTCTTCTTCTTCTTCTTCTTCTTCTTCTTCTTCTTCTTCTTCTTCTTCTTCTTCTTCTTCTTCTTCTTCTTCTTCTTCTTCTTCTTCTTCTTCTTCTTCTTCTTCTTCTTCTTCTTCTTCTTCTTCTTCTTTCTCTTCTCTAAACAACCACTGTCATCATCTTCTCCCTCTTCCCACTGGAGTATACATCTTCATAGATCAGATTCAAATGTTATACATAACACTATACAAGAGCAAGAGGACTGCAGCAGAAAAAAATGGATCGACAACATTAAACACTCTACGCCTTCACGGCATGACAATAGCCAGTAACAGCAAAAGTGCACTGGATCGCAAATTATTCCTCACCACTTAGCTTAACGGCAAAAGTGGTTTATGATGATGATGATGAGAAACGTTTTATAAGATTGAACCTATTATCTGCCAGCTGTTTCGGTTTAAAAAGAATCGTATACTACTCCTGGAGATGAGAATGCAAAAGAAAGAAAGAAAAGAAAGAAAGACAAACATAAACAAAGAGAAAGGACGAAAGAAAGAAAACAATAACACCAGAAAGTGTTAAAGTAGAGAATCTTTTCTCGCGCTATGTGGAGCATATTGGCTAGGCACATCTTGTGTCTGTATGTGTATTTATATATTTATAAACACACACACACAACAGAAGGCGTCTGGTAGGTGATCTTCTCAACACCGTCTTAACAGCGTTTACTTCCCATGATATTTCCTGGTACATATTTAAAGCTGGGATCCTTAGGTCATTTATAAGAAATTCACCAGCTACCGGTTCGAACTCAAGGGCTAAGACCAGTAGGCCAGACATTGCCGTACTGAGGACACCCGAATGTGTTAGAGGACTTAAACACTCACCAGCAGCAATCTCCTCTGGAGTAGGATCGTGGATATAGAGTTCTGGGTCGTACATGTTGTATGCTACAAAGTCATCCACCAGTTCTATAGTTTGTTCTGGAAGAGTGTAAAGAGTTAAATATACACATATCTATTGCAATGTTTCCCAAACTGTTCTTAGTTTCGGCGCCTTTTATTTCAATTAAAATTTTTCCATGGCGCACTAACCTAAGTAAAATTATGACTATTCGTATGTAAGAGATAAAAAAAAAAAAAAAAACTCGTGTATTTTCGAATACTTAGCTAGGCCCCTGTGAAGAGGTCGTGAATCATTGGGGCGCTGCGGCGCACAGTTTGGGATCACAGATCCAAACAATAAAACAGAAAATACATGTGCCCGTACCTTTTCAGTCAATTCTAATAACTCCTCCAAAACGGTGACCAGTAGACGGGGTAAATTTGCAGATGCCATTCTAGTTATTTTCAGCCCGTGCCATTCCTCAATGTTCTGCTTTTCAACAGGTCTCCCCTAAAATCATGGCAACTTATGCCTTTCATCTGTTGTCTACTACAGCAGTGGTCTCAAAGAGTAGAGACGAACTTTCCCCATGTGGCATTGATTATACACACGTCGTTTTCTTCCTCTCCTACGGCCCATCTTGTCTGATCTACTCCTAAGTGGGCAAACCATTTGATTTGTTGTCTTTGTGTGTAATTTATGATAGATATCGTGCATACGTTTTCTCTTAAGATCTCATTTCTGATTTTTTTTTAAAATTCTAGCAGGCCTGTTCAGAAACTAGTCTCCATGGGTACTATTAATTAATTAATTGATTGCTTTTATTTTGGTTTGTTGTGAGTTAACTATGTCTGATACTGGTAGCATAGAGTTAGAGTCACGCAATGGGTGATGTGATCAAAATCACATCGGTCGCCTTTACTACCCAGGACATTTTCTCGTAATAATTTTAGGTCGGGCATGCCTGAGAGCCTTAGGGCAATTTTCAAAAATCTCTCTCGATACAGATTTGAACCCAGGATCTCCACATTAAAAGGTATTAGGAGGTGTGGGGGAGGGGTGGGGGCGGGGGATTATCATATCTACAATGAAGGCTGGCTTCAATGCAGCGATTGCTGTCTTTGTGAATATTACTTGATGAGGTTTGCTTTTCACACGTCCGACTGCATATTAATATCCTCAAGATGGCCGTGGCTTTTCATACCATTCTCCCAACACCACGAGCTGCTGCTGTTAGTTTGATGAAAAGTCAACTATCTGGCCACGTTCAATCGTGCTGAGAACATCTTCGGTTATAATTGTGGTCTGTGTCTATTTAAAAGTAAAAAAAGGACCTTTTTCTACGCCTTTAGTCGTAATGATCGTATAGGTCTAGATCTATATTTTAAAGACCGATCGGCAATCTCTGGGTGATGTGGTTAACATCACGCCAGCCGTCTTTACTTCCCAGGACTTTACTTGGTACCCATTTAAAGATAGGTGGAACTGGGAGCTTTGAAAACAACGACTCTCTATGACTCTCAGGCTCGGCAGGATCTGAACCCAGGACCTTAGGATTTGCAGGTGAGTGTCTAGTCACTACACCAGGGCTGTTCGCTTGTGTGCATTTACGGCAGAATTAACGGCTGATGTTGTTTGTACCACTAGCACATTAACTTGTTGTCTATAGCTGAGTAATGTTGTTCCTCTGAGCATTTCTGCGTCTTCAGTTCTGTTTCTGTGGCCCGGATGAGGTTTCACTGTTCGCGTCCATTTTCCTGTTTTTTGTGCGTGACTGTGTAAAGTGTTATTTTGGCTGTACTCCTGTTATCCCATGTGGGGGTTTTCTTCCAGAATTATTAGGTCAGGTCTGGTTCTTGTTATTGGCAGAACATCAGGAGCCTCTCTTGACAGTGGTGAAACGTCGCAAGCTAGCTAGGTAGAGCTACGTGGCCTCGAGGCATAGTGTCCGCCTCGAGAGCTAGAGGTTCCGGGTTCAATCTCCGGTGGTGAATTGATAATAACAAGGCAGATGTGGTCAAGGCCCTTTGGGAACAAGCAGCGGAATCAGTAGAGAAACAAGTATATGACTGACTGACTGACTGACTTTCTACCCCATCAGGACATCACACAAGTGATAAACACCCGATGACACAATGTGCCACCATGTGGGTGAGGATCACCGTGGAGAGGTCCCAGAAACCGCGTTTAGCCTTTTGGCCATAGTTATGGCCAGGCTATATTGCGGCCCCTGGCAAAGCCAGAGTAGGGCTTCAAATAACGAAAAATGTCATCCTAAAAAGGACGGAAAGTGTTAGTAACAAGATTATTGTGGTCTGGAGAGAATGTGCTGGCCGGTTCACTACACTCAGAGGAAAGACAAGACAGACATATAACCATATTGTGAACGGTACTATCAGTATTGAAACTCTGCGTTGGCTGCTGAAGACGAGGACGGAGCAAGCATTTGATTGCCCGAGTGCTGTGATTCAATTCTTGACTCAGCTCAATTATAGTAAGGGCTGGTATTTTCTCACGTGGACTTGGGCTTCTAGTATTTCCCCTAGTCTCTGGGTAGTGAGATGGGACGTCCGTGTACATTGCTGAGCACGTAGGAAAAAAAAATCCCTTGGCAGTTGGAAATCGAAAAGAGTAGCCTAACGGCGCTGCCTGGACAAAAACTGAGTTAAAAATCTACCTAAAGTATTCCAGGATCTTTGCCGGTGCTACAGAGCCTGTGTACAATTCTGAGCTTCTTCGGACTCAGACTTGAGGTATAAGAAAGAACAGAGCACTTATGGGTTACTGCCCGTGTGCCACGATGTTGATCAGTTGTTCAAACTTCAAAATTCAAGCTAGCTAGGTTTAGGCACATGGTGAAAGATGATTCGATTGCAAAAAAGGAGGGGGGGGGGGGGGGGTAGTCAAAGAAGAGGAGGGCAAAGAAGAACCTGGAATGACAACATCAAGAAATGGACAGGCTAAGTTATGATATACTAGTTGATCAAGCGGAAGACAGAGAAAGATGGCGGGTTTTGAGTGTTAATGCTTGCATCGATACACCTTCACGACCCTAATTGGTCAAGGATTATGTTTTGTTGTGTTCTTGTTGAGTGTCCAAATCCTGTTGTGAAGTCCATATAATGGTCAGTCCTATTAAAGTCCCAATCTTACCTCTGCGCGTCTCCGGTCAGTGCTTAGTTACCACGAGAGCGGCCTTTTACTATTATTATTATCATTATTACTATTATTATTAGGTAAATATTTTTTTTTTAACCGACCGCTGCTGAAATCGCACCTCGAACGCGAGAATTTCGAAATTGTGAAACGAATTCACTAGCCCTTTAGTAACATGTAAGTCACTCAGCGCGGCGTCCGTGGCTAAGGCGTTGCGAGTCCGACTCGTAAGCCAGCTTACCGCGATCGAAACCCACTGCAGGCTGCGTGGATTTTTGTCGTGGTATGGGACGTCGCAGGTCGACCCAGCCTAAAATGGGTACCAGGATGGGCTGTCCTGGGAAAGTAAAGACAGCCGGCGTAATGCTGACCACATTACCCACAGAGTGCTGATGGTCTGTAAAAATATGGGACGCTCTGCCCATATGCCCGATGCGCCGAAAGGCGTGAAAGGGGAACTTTACTTTACTTTACTAAGTCACTCAGCAGCACATTGTGAGGAGAAAAAAAAAAAAAAAAAAAGAGCGGGAGATGTGTGGAACCTACCATAAGAAACTGAATACCTTCTTCCTTGGATGCTCATCTGGCCTAGCAAAGGATGTTGGCAGATAACCTGGTTTCCAGACACCGACCACTTTGCCGGCATTACTTCCAGAGACGAGCCTGCGATTGAAATAGAGAGGAAACATACCATGTATAGAGTGGTTTGGCCACTTGATGCGAATGCAAACCGACCAACTGCCTCTACGAGCATACAACGAACAGCACTACTGCCCTAGAGCAAGAGGCAGACCGAGAGTACGATGGATAGACAATATATCAGAGATCCTGAGGCAACACGGACTAACAACAACACGTGCAACACACCTGGCCCAGGATAGAAAACTGCGACTCCCCACTATGCTGTGAGGCAATTGTGGACAAGATAAGACAAGACAAGACATACTATGGTTATTTTCGTAATGCTGAACACATTCAGTGCCCTTTCAAAGTCGACAATCTTCGCCTGAGTTTTTGAAAAATAATGTTCCATGGAGCAGAGGCGTAGGAAGGTGGGTGCGGGGCAGTGCTGGGTTTAAGTATAGGCTAAATCAACTGCAGCTTGGTGTCTCACAGTCTGCCAGGGGGTAAACAAAATATATGTTACCCCCTGCATGTTCAAAGAAAGAGACATGTTATGCAGTACATCTTTTGAAGAAATAATCAATGATTTTGCATTAGGGCAATCAAGGGGGAAAATGTTTTGAATTGTCACTTTGAGCCTTTTAGAGGATTATATAAAATAAGTTACACTAGTTCGCAAACGAATTCGTTATTGTTTCTGTAAAAATGAAAATTAAAAAAAAAAAATTAACAAACGAACGATAATACATTTCCATATTTATTATTTAAAAACCTATATATTTTAAGGCGTTCTAAAAGTAGCTGGTGTCATCTTAAACGATAAGGCTCTCGGGGCGTTACATAGCTTAGGGTCTTAAGTGTTAATTCGGTCCTGGTGAAAAAAAGGAAGGCGAGTACTGGCCATCCCGGGTGTCATTACTCAACAGAGGCTGGGAGGGTCAAAATGGGGGAAACATAAATGTTATTAAAATCAAAAGAGCAGGCAAACGAAGAGCGAGGCAGAATCTGCTGGACAGTTTGACATCATGGCATAGAATATCATCTGTGTCAGAACTGACTAAAGGTACACTCGACAGAAGGCTGTGAACAAACATGACGTCTAACTTCACACGGCGTGAAGTATAAGAACATGAAGAGAACACACAAACACACACACATACACACACGTCACTCCTTAGTTTCATCCTCTTTATGTGGTTTTTTGTGTGTGCTTCTTCTCCTCCTTCTCCCCCTCCTCCTCCCCCTCCTACTCCTCCTCCTTCTTCTTCTTCTTCTTCTTCTTCTTCTTCTTCTTCTTCTTCTTCTTCTTCTTCTTCTTCTTCTTCTTATTCTTATTCTTATTCTTCTTCTTCTTCCTCCTCCTCCTCTTTCTGTTGTGTCATGTATCCAGCAGTGGAGCATATGTTTTCGACAAAATCAAGACAATTCATTTTCCTTTGCTACCGAATGCAACTCATTCCATCTCTTCCCTATCATTTCACTTGACTCCCTGCGTCCATATTCTATTTGTGTTCTTGGTCTCCCTTTATGTCTTGGACCCAATGAGTTCAAGTGCAAAGATTGTCTAACTAAACTGTACTGTTGCTTTTTTTTTTTTTTTAGACATGTGGACTATTTAATACTAACATCCCCCTCCCCACCCGACCTTAAAAAGTGGTAAACGCAGACCGTTGAAGACGGTTAAATAAGTGAAAGGTTTATGTAAAGTCCGTAGAGTTGCGTAGTACTGAAATGTAGAGATCGCCTAAAATTACTAATCAAATACAAACATGCATTGACTGGTACCTTTGCAGAGTACTGGGAATAAAAGGACGTGATAAAATCATTATTATGGAACTTTGTGAGAATAACATTTCAGCGAATTAAGAGAAGAGGAAAATGCACTGGGTATATGGATAGGAAACTGTGAGAAAATTTGATACAAGAGTAACTAGAAGGGCGTTGCACTGGAACTTTTAAGTAGAAAGTAATCAAGGCTAACGACTCTCTCTCTCTCTCTCTCTCTCTCTCTCTCTCTCTCTCTCTCTCTCTCTCTCTCTCTCTCTTCTCTCTCTCTCTCTCTTTCTCTCTCTCTCTCTCTCTCTTTCTCTCTCTCTCTCTCTCTCATACACACACACACACAGAGAGAGAGAGAGAGAGAGAGAGAGAGAGAGAGAGAGAGAGAGAGAGAGAGAGAGAGTTAGATAATTCGAATACGCCACTGCAATCAAGTCGATCCTCTCGATTTTAACCAAACAAGTTCAAGTCACATGGGAAAAGGTTGGGACTGTTGCCTAGGCGTACAACAACCTACAGTCACTGCCGTAATGTCTGTTGAAATTAAAGGACTCCGTATCCTTGTCTACGTGGGGGGTCATAGGGGTGCAAACTGAAGTAGCCAGATATGAACAATTCACCAAGGGCACACGGCGTGATCTGTTGTTTTACTCTTGTCGCGCTAGTGAGGAGGAGATAGGAGCACTTATACATCTATCCGGAGCGCTGTG